ACAATGCTCCCAAAGACACTGTGAATGCAGTAAAAACACACACACACACACACACACACACACACACACACACACACACACACACACACACACACACACACACACACACACACACACACTAGAGAACTTTATCACTTAGGCACTCGCCTCCCAAGAGCCGGGATGTCAACATTATTGAAGCAATGTGGGATCAATTTGACAGTGAATGGAACAAAAGGCAGCTAACATCAAAAAAGAGCTTTAAATGTCCTTCAAGAAGCCTAGAGAACTATTCCTGAAGCCTACTTAAAGAAATTATAGAAAGCTGCCTAAGAGAGATCAGGCTATATTGAAGAATGGTAGTCATACCAAAAGTTGACTTTCAAGCTTGTTAGAATTGTACAAACGTTGCCATATATACAGCATTTTTCTTTATGTTTGCATGCTTCAATAAATTGCAGCAGCCATTTTCCCAGAAAAATATAAAGACATGAGAGGTGACTTGAGATTTTTACACATATTTCTGTCTCTCCACACGTCTACATGGAGACACAAATATATGACTAGTTGAGTGGCACATGCAGTCTGCTGAAGATTTCTCAAATTTAAAGACTAGATGTTCTTCTAATACATTTTATTTGATATTTTCTAGAGTTGAGTGTACATAAAAGACAAACTCGTGCCGCTGTGACGTCAGCACTGGTTGAAGTCTCATCTTAAAGTCTGAGTATTTTGGCTCTGATTGTGCAGTAACTTTTAGCTTCTCAAACACACATCACAGCAACTTGTCAGTCACAAAGCAGGTCTGCCTTTAAGTGTGGCATGTTTTATCACTCTTTCTGACAATATTTGGACTTCACTATATGTTCCATAAGACTTGGAAACAAGCAATTGGAACCATATTCTCATGGAAAAAGTGTTTATGGAGGTCATAAGTCAAGGAAACCCAGCCACCGTTTTCCCATAGATTTGTAGACATCAAGGCTTCTTTGTGTTAATGGAGGACTCGACCAGTGTCAGTTTTGATTTAGTTTTAGTCTTTTGACTGAACTGTTAAATTCTTTGAGTCATAATTTAGGCTTTTAAATTCTTTTAGTTTTGGTTGACTAAATATCATTAGATTTAGTCTACAATAATCTTAAGTTGAATCAGTTTACAAAAAGTAAAAATTTGTTGTGAATTGTATAACATTTTTCTGAACACTATGCAACAGTTGGCAGTCTCTTGAGGAGAGAAGTTGCCCAGCAGATGAAGTAGAAACCTGATGGGGGGGGGAAATAAAACTATGCTGCAAAGCAGACCCTATGCAGTAACCCCCAACATGACCCGCTGAATGAGGAAATATAATTAAGCCCTTCTAGCACTGCATAATTTGAAATGGTATCACTTGCAAAGTGGCTTTTCTTTATTTTGCTCTGCTTTTTTGTGTATTTTGTTTGGATGTTTTACAGTTTTGCTCCTGGGTGAGATTGAAACTGGACCTTGTTTTAACTAGGTCCCAAGACTAAACGGAGGCTTCTAATACCCATGTCCTTGCACTATCTCAGCGTGCCTGGAGAACATTGTCTTAGATGAATATTTACAGCTTGTACACAGATACATTGTTCTGGTCAGAGCAGGCACAGTCTAATACGCACTAAATACAATATAAATGTTTAATGTATATATGATCCACTGGATATTATTTCACTGTAGACACACATTAATGCCTCTTTGTTCTTCTACAGGGCCCATAAAAGGGGAAGCTGTCTTATTTTTATTTATTTAATTATTTAATGTCTTACTGTTTTGAATCAATAAAACCAGAAAAAATCTAAATTCATATCATGTTTGAGCGATCATCTCTGCTCTGTTCTGCTTCTCAGCTTGCAGGAAAATATGACCCACATAAGGAAGAGGAGCTGAGACTGTGGATTGAAGATGTGACTGGCAAAAGGACCGGGGACAGCTTCATGGATAGCCTGAAAGATGGAGTACTATTGTGCGAGTGAGTGGATGGACGCCACCTTGTTTTTGTTTTGTTTTTTAAAAGCAGGAACTTTCTTCAAATCTCTCTCTCGCTCTGTCTTTTTGTAGGCTCATAAATGCTCTCCAGCCGGGCTCTGTGAAAAAGATCAACCACTCCAGTCAAAACTGGCACCAGGTAATGCTCCAGCTCTCAAAACTCAGGCCTGTTTTCCACACCGAGTGGAACTCGTCTCCCGCACTGGCACTGACAACAAAGACTTTTATTTACCTTCCATAAAGTAGCTTCCATATCAAATGAGGCTCATCTTAGCACAGCTTTTATTAGCCTAGTATTGGACCAGGAAAAAGCAAACAGAGCTCTTAAGCGTTGATTAAAACGCAATTCAGAAAGTTCTCGCTGTGATATTGACACTGCCGCACATGCACACAGACCGTCACACAGTCGCACTCTCCAAGGGCATGGGCGCAAATCGAGAGTCAATATTTAGCAAAAGTTATTGAGCTTGAATCTTAATACTTGGCCCTGGTGCCAAGGTAAGCTGACTGCCCACGAGCTGTAGCCTCAGTTCCGACATGAGATCACAAAAAAAGGCGAATAAGATCATTTCTGAAACTGCAGAGCTTCTTGTGTTACAAGATGGCAACCGTCACAGATTTTTTCTGTTGCTATGCAAGGTTTTATTCTAGGAAGAAAAACACAGGATCTACTCAGACAGTTTGTAAAAGGCATGCATTGCTTATGAAATTCTGGGCCGGTAACATAAGAGTTTAAAATAATAATAATTTGGTTGATATGCTGATAGATATTTTCATTGTTGCTTTTGTTTGTTTGTATTGTTTGTATCCCATCATTTGTACCAGGGGAAACAAAGAAATCTAGTTTTAAAAAAAAAAATTAAAGGACCTTTCAGATCTTTTATTACATTATTTTTGGACATTCTGAATTTTGCTGAATGTCACTATTTGCCGATAGCAAATGGGCTGACAGCTGTCAGCAGGGCCAGACTGGCCAGTACCATTGTTCTGCCAATATATCCAGGCATGTATAAATGCCCAAAAGATCTTATTCCAGCCTGTATTCTTGCTCTTTCTCTCAGCTGGAAAACATAGGGAATTTCGTCCGAGCCATCACGGAGTACGGCCTGAAGCCACACGACATCTTTGAGGCCAACGATCTGTTTGAGAATGTCAACCACACTCAGGTCCAGTGCACACTCATCGCTCTGGCTGGAATGGTGAGGGCGGCGGTGCACACACATTCACATACGTCGGCATCTCGCTGAAATCACCACTGGCTGCACATTATTATTTGATCTTGATACTTTTTTTTTTTTTTTTTTTTTGCTTAGATTTCCATAGCAACAGCATGGATCTAATAAAAGCAATGTGGGTATGAAAAGTGCTTTCTTATTACCACCATTTTTCCTTTCTGTCACCACCACTTCTGTCTCTCAGGCCAAGTCCAAAGGTTTCCACTCGAAGTACGATATAGGCGTGAAGTACGCAGAGAAACAGCAGCGGCGCTTCGCTCCCGAGAAGCTCAGGGAGGGACGTAACATCATAGGCCTGCAGGTCAGAGTGGCAAAAGGGCTAAACGTGTAATGTACTGTGTTATGGCCAAGCTGTCATGGTGCAGTGTTGTTCTGCTGGCCAAGCCTGTTCTCAGTGTGTTGTTATTGTGCCCCCTGCTGGATTCTTGCTGAATGAATATTCCCCAAACAGTCTTTTCAACTTTTTAACAACAAACAAGGAACAGGAATGGACCGATCAATAACCACACCTCATATGTGATCCTAAAGTGTGATGTTTTTGGAGACACTCCAAAGAATAACCGTGGCAACTACATTGCATGTCATGTAAATCCTGTCGTTTTCCTCTGTATTTAGATGGGCACTAACCAGTTTGCCAGTCAAAAGGGCATGACCTCTTACGGGACACGACGCCATTTGTATGATGCCAAAATAGGCATGGACACCCCTGACCAATCTACTATCAGCCTACAGATGGGCACCAACAAGGGAGCCAGCCAGGTGGGAAGAGATGTATAATTTTAGACTAAAGTAACACTTGTTCACCACAGTTTCTTGGCGATATAGCTCTAGCATGGTTAGTATGTATTATCGTTTTTAAAATGTATCTTGAAATGAACAAAATCCCTTTTATTGTTGCATCAAAGAAATAAAATGTTATTACACAAAATATATACACTTATTAAAAAGACACATTAGAAACATGTTAGGTGAAACTGCAACTTGAGTTGATCTGACAGGGTTTAGTCTAACCATAGTTGCTGCACTCCTGCAAGCCACTTTGCAACCCACCTCCATCCTCAGCTCCTACATTTCATACTGTGTCCGATCTAAGTGATTGCACATCTGTTGCCAGTACTGCCCTCCCTCATTTGCCTTTTTGTGCATATACATGGAGCTCCAAACAGTCATATCACAGATTTGATGACTGTTCTTTCTTTGACTAATGTGGTTCTGACTGGACTATCTTATTATAAGGACACTTAGTGAGTCACATCCTCATGCTTGTTGACTGTGTTTTTTAATAGCATTTGGAGGACTAAGACACGTCAGGCTGAGATATAGAGAAATTGATTGCTCAGATCACTTCATTAGTTTTGGTGGATTCTTTGGATTTGTTAACACATCTCTGTCATGAATGCAACGGTATAGTGTATTTACACCGCTGCGCCCTCCATCTTGCTTTTCTCTGCTACAGTCCGGCATGACGGCTCCAGGAACCAGGAGGCATATTTTTGACAAGAACCTGAAGCTGGAGGACTGTGACACCACCACAATCTCTCTGCAGATGGGCACCAACAAAGGGGCCTCTCAACAGGGCATGACCACTTATGGCCTGCCCCGCCAAGTCTACGACAACAAGTACTGCATCAACCCCACTGAGGCCAACTGCAACAACGGGAGCGAGGTGGAGTTTGATGGCTACAACCAGTACTCTGACTAAGGGGAAAAACCATGGACAGCAGCATCCTCCCTCTCCCTCTCCCTCACCCCAACCCAACCCCCACCCCCTCACCCCTTTTTTTTCGCTTTTACTTTAGACAGCCAGCTGCGACTGTCCTTGCGACGATCAGACCTTTCAGATCGATTGACGTCATTGTCTGCTTCATTTCCCGTCTTTTATAAACAAGTTTTTGACTCTTCAGCTTATTGTTTGGCTTTCCGTGAGTAAAAGAGAAGAAATGTGTTTACACTGACCTTCCGTCACAAAAAAATGTGGTGGCCAAGTTCAGTCGCTCTAGTTAATGATGTTATTGTTACAGCTAAAAATAACCACGCTCTGAAGTGGAGACTTTTTGATCTTTTGCAATTTATAGTCTTTTGTTTTGTTTTTTTTTTTGTTTTTTTTTTTCCCTAAAGCTTTTTATACTTGCATCGTAATTTAGAAATTTTTTTTTTTTTACCCCCGTGTAGCCAGTCCAGTTTGAACATAATGAAGCAAAATATGCAAAGTTCCTGGAGGGCAAACAAGTTGGTGCTATTGAACTTCGACCCAGTTGGAACACGTCCACATTAAGAGCTCTGCAGGCTCCAGGATACCACTCCTTTGGATGACACACAAGCTCTGGGTCCACAGACTGATCGCGATGCGCAGCTTTTGTGCGGACATTGCTTTTCTTTTCTTTCTTTTTTTTCACCGCAAGCACCTGCGCTAACCAATAGTCATGTTAAGTCTGCTAAATTACCCATTGTGCCATTTTTGCAGGGCTCATTTACATGGCTTGTTGTGGAGCATTTCAGAGTTTGTTTACTGAGAAAGTCTTTTTTTTTTTTTTTTTTTTTTTTTAAAAAAAAGGTTCTGAGAGACACGGTGCACTGGTTTTTATAAAGGAGTACGTGCAGGTGTGGTGGTATCCAGATTGAAGTTTGGTACGTGGTCACCAGTTGTTTTTGCACTGCAAAAAATAGTCCTGTAATATTTCGACTTTTGGGGAACTTTAGCTTTACTGTTGCACTTCTACCTGGCCACGCGCCACCAGTGTTGGAATGATGCCCGAACAATTAGTTACACATTCGAGCACCTAAACTTAAATATTTTCCATTTGATGACACTCCTGCTGTACAGTCCAGATAGTGTTTTCCTTTTTATGTCATATATTTATTAGCTATACTTAAAGAATAAAACACAGATACAGTTTACCACACACAGGGGGATATTTTTCATAAGCAGGACCTATAATGAAGTATTATTTATTTTTTGTCCACCACTGGCTGTGAAAAGCAACAGCAAAGCAGACCCATGCGCTTGCAGATATATCCTTATGTGAGTCATGACAAATATGCAGAATTTTTAAAGCTTCTGCAACATACTGTCTAACCCACCGAATGTCTTGAATGTAACGTTATTTGTAAAGCTAGAGGTCCCACTGCCTATCACAGGGTTCATGATATGTGCACAGGGTGTCTGCTTGTATAAGCAAGTTAAATTTCTTGCTTACATTTTAAACTTTTAAAGATTTCTTTTGTTTTTTTTGTTTTTTTTAATCCCAGTTTAAATAAAATCATACATGTGATGGAAAAGTGAGAATATGCTCTCTAGATAACCTCACTAAGGTCAGTTTGGACAGAACTGTTGGCTAGGTCTGCTACCCTACTATTTTTATGTCAAAACGACTGCTGCAAACTAGGACTGCTGTCCAAAACAAAACAGTCTATATATACACACACACACAGAGCACAGTTTGTATAAGCACCAAGACTGTTATTTTTAATAAATAAATAGTTTAGCAGGTGGATAACACAGCTATCACCTCTTCATCACACGAAGAACCTACCCATCAAAGATGGGCGTGCCTTTAATAAGTTAAGTTAGCTATTGTATGTACTCTTCCCATCCATCCATCCGCTTCCGCTTATCCTTTTCAGGGTCGCGGGGGGCGCTGGAGCCTATCCCAGCTGTCATAGGGCGAGAGGCGGGGTACACCCTGGACAGGTCGCCAGTCTGTCGCAGGGCCAACACACAGGGACAGACAACCATTCACACTCACACATTCAGACCTAGTGACAATTTGGATTATCCAATTAACCTATCCCCACAAGCTGCATGTCTTTGGACAGTGGGAGGACGCCGGAGTACCCGGAGGGAACCCACGCAAACACGGGGAGAACATGCAAACTCCACACAGAAAGACCCCGGCCTGATGGTGGAATTGAACTCAGGACCTTCTTGCTGTGTGACAACAGTGCTAACCACCGTGCCGCCCTTGTACTCTTCCCATTAACCATTAATGCACTCAAAAACAGCATGAAAGAGGAAGTGGCCTTCAGGTTCAGTCGAATTGTTCGATCTGAGGGGCAAATCTGGCAGCATTACGTGCTGGAGATTGTTGGGGCGAAATAACCCGAGAACATTTAAATCCCGTTTGAGCTCAATTTCAAACTGTTTGCTACTTTCAGCTGTCTGGCTTTCAGACTGGCTTTGGATTACAGAAAGTGGTGCATGCTTTTTCTCCTCTCAGCTCCCCATCATTCAAAAGCTTCCATGATTTATAAGTTGTAGAGGTGTGCCATCTAGTGTTGTACAAGCTTTACAATCTAGCTAAGAATGTAGTGGTTTTTTTTGTTTTTTTTAAATGGCATATTAATTTTTCATCATCACTAACGCGCTGATACTGGCACTGACAAGTACAGATTCCTTAACATTTCACCCTGACATGCTGGCTCCTGGTTTCTTTATCAATATGCTTTTCACTAAACATGAAACATTCATAAACCTTTGTGCAATAAAAACACACAAAGCATTTTCGTGACTTTATTTTCTTACTACTGTCAGCAACTTGAAGTACACAAATACATCAAAGTAGTGTACGAGAGATACATGAAGTGATTTTGTTTTTGTCTGTTTGTTTGTTTTTTAAGGAAAATCTAGCAGTAAAAATATAAATTGGTCCAAAAGGAAAAAAATGTTTTCAGTGCAATAGTGACACAGTTGGGGAAAAAATAAAGAAAATCTACATGTGACAAAAGTTATTCTGATTGTGTCACCAGAATCTAAATATGTCAACATCTAGATGCTAAATAAATCTTTGAAATGATCTAAGAGAAGAGATATATATATTTCATAGGTTATATTTTAAACTATTATATAACAATTTGGTCCGAAAGAAGGGAAGGTTAAGTCCTACAATAGTTCACCAACATAAGATATGAAAACATTTACATTGATCTTTTTATAGCTACATGTTACTGTCAGAAGAACATGGCCACACTCTGGCCCAGCCAGAGTAATGTGTCATAATCAGCAAGAAAAAAACAAACCTAAAAGGAACTAAGAACACCAGGTGACTCAAGAGAAAAACAAAATGTTTGCTACATTGTGCTAGCTCAACAGGAATTACTTCAAGAAGCAGAAATTGAGGTTAGAAGGTCAGTTAGGAACACTACTGGTTGGCTGCTTCACAGGCATCGATCCAGTCACTGTAGACGTCCACCGGCTCGGACAGATCTATTGAGAAAAGGTTAAGGACCAAACCAAGTGCTCAAAAATTCAACACACACATGCTGCATCAAAGTTGATCAATCCTTAAATGTATTACTTTAAATGAAAGTACTTTATGTGCATGTGCATCCAGAACTGTATTCAAGTGCAGAGTGGATTTAACCTTCCGAGGTCTAAGTCATCATCACGGACAAACCCAACCCTAACTCTATGCAATCACATGTCTGCGTCACAAGTCACGGCAGCCAGAGAACAAAGAAAGTAATCGTTCAAGTGATTAGTTTTAAAAAAAAAAGTATGTTTTCCCTTTTCCCAAAATATAAAGTTGGGGTCGAGTAACCACCTCTGATAACTTAGACCTCGGAGAGTTAATACTTTTTGAAATATACTTCTAAATAAAAGGCAAAATCAAACATCCCTGGCAGCAAGCAGCATCTTTTGTTGATTAAAAGGATACATGTTATGGGAGTCTGAAACTCCTCCAAGCAAACGCTGCAGGATATAATTCCAGTGTTGCGGGTTCGTTCCCTAGGAGACAGTTACTTTAGGCAGGATGTCCCCGATGCATGAATGTTTCAAGAATTTGGAGCGATACTTACATTTTGACATCGCAGGATTTCTCGTGATTGCAAAAAGGGCAAGTGAACTGGGTGTCCAGGTTACCTGTCATTTTCTTCTTGGGAGGTGGCTTTCTTTTTGACTTTCTGCGGCCCATTATATCTCTGTAGACAAAAAAAACACAGGTGTTTCCATTACGCTTTCACATTCCATTTCGTTTAGAAGATTTTCTTAGACATGTATCTGTGTGTCCTGCCTAACTTATGTGATCCATGTTATCTGACTAGTCACTGCAGTGGTGTCTTGCACTCACATGGACTTTGAAGTTGTGTTTATGCGCCTTTACATTGATCTCATACAATTTTATTGCTTGGTGTGTTTTTATATTCAACATAGTCACACAGTATATAAACACTTTATCTGCATTGTTGCAAGTATGGCTGTTATAAAACAACTTTTCTGACTAGTATAAGTAGACAGCAACTATTAGTTACTATCCCATATGAGCAGCTAAGATTAGCAAAAACCATAATACAAAACACGAACTTGAAATGTTGATTAAAATTGCAATCAATTATTTACTTTCATCTGCTATAGATTATTTTTTTAGAGAAAGTCTTGGACTAAAACTTCTCCGAATTTCCAAGTTGTTTGCTAGACCTGAGTGTACATTCGTTTAAAATGTCCCCACAGGAAACTCGTTTTTCCGATTATTTTAACACAACATGAATCTTTCACATATTGTACTAAACAGAGACGGCTCTAACCCATCACTTACAGAGCTTACTGTTAACACAGCAGACAGTGCAATCCCAGCACGCAGCTGCTTATCAGTAAAGGTTTATTTTCCAAAACAATGACTGCCACGAGATGTGGGTTACTTAAAATATCTTAGAAAAGATAACCAACGCTGTTGCCAATGTGTAAACAAAACCTGAAATGTGTTTTATTATAGTCATAGCTTCGAGGTGTGGACACTCCTCCAAAGAGCTAAAATAATAACAGAGGGGATGCGGAGATGCTCGCTCTATAAACGCCAAAAAGCTACCGCTATATGTTAGCAGCTAACGCGCTAACATGATGCTGTCATGTAGGAGGATTCTGACTGACGCAAAAAGTTGCTTTCCGAAACAACCTAGAAGGTAACCGGTAAACACAAAGTGCGCTTCTCTGCACTACAGCTTTTGACATTTGAGCGACGACGGGACGGTTGTCTTACCAACGAGATGTCTTTCGGCAGAGGATGCTCCGCTCTTCAACTTGGTACAGATGCAGCGTCTCACTGAGGACGCTTCTGATTGGTTAGGTGGGAGTTTGGTCAGGCTTTTGATTGGCTGTCTTCTGGGGGTCCAATAGTGGATCTGCCTCCAGATTGATAAACAAGCTGATACTGTAGATTAGGGACATCAAACTGCCCCGGACTCAACAACCGGGCCAACAAAGGACTCTGGACTGCTTTGTAAAATGTGAAGGAGGGCTGAAATTTTGGACTTGTACCTGTATTTTCGTAAATTTTACAGCTTTCCCTCCTGATAAACACACCCCACCGTGATCATTAAAACCACACCACCGTAATTAAATAATAGATAAATACTTAAATGGCAGAAAAGTTTTTTTGGTTTTTTGGGGTTTTTTGTTTTTATCTACTCTAGAAATGTTGGGTCCACAGTATAAAAATGACATTTTACATGAATTAGAACTACTTTCAGTTTTACAAAGGACCACCTAGGTTATAAGAAATCAGCAGATTTTCTGTAGTTTTACATATTTATTTGTTGCAGTTTAATCCCAACTGCAATCATGCTCGCAGATTTCTTTCAATCACTTTCAATCACTGCTGTTTATAGGGTTGAGGGAAACCTTCAGTCAGCTGAGGCTGAAGAAGTCACTTGGATGAGTTACGAAACGTTTTTCCCACTTAAAGCGCTACGTACAGATGAGCAGAATCAACCACAGCAATTTCTCCGTCATGTAGAAAAATGTCTAAATTGCACTTCTTTTTCTGATATTAGAATATCCCCGTGATTAAAGCTTTTGTAATAGAAAGAGGTGTTTCATTGGTCGAGATGATGGTAAAATCATGTGGTAAAATGACTTTGACATCACATATGTAGACTACTGTAGATCATATAGTTCTGTATATGAATCAGTAAAGTAACTTTTCACTTACGTAGAACATGATATTAACTGTGTGGCGCTGCTGGGATTTGCACCCAGCATCTCCTCTTTGCATTTTAACCCCCTATGCCACAGCACCTTCTACAGATTACTTTGCAGTGCTCTCCTGGTGCTGAAAAGTGTCCTTAAATAAAAGTAGGTTTTTTTAATTTAAAAAGCACTCCAGTACTCATGAAAGCACTCCAATCAAAATGTACTCTGAGAAAACATTACACATTACATCCTCCAAAGGGTGTTGAACACTACTGCAAAGAAAATGTGAAAGTATGTAAGAAGGTTTAATAATGCCTGACCATATGACTAATAAATTGGAGGTAAGTGGTTACTAAAGAGTGCATAATCATCAAATTCTGTATGAGCCACAGCAAGGTTTGTGTCCAAACTGACAGTAAATAATTTCCCTGTATGAAATCACTTGTCTTCTGTGGAAATAACTGATTATGGTTATTAAATATTTGACTTCCTGTCTCAAATTCGTTTAAAAATTATTTAAACGTCCTTGCATTGGGTTGCAAGGACAAACTCTCAGATCAAACTGCTTCACAAATTGTCCAACATAATATCCCTAATAGTGTTACACAGAAAACTGGGGAACACCCACTCAATCAAGCTGCATAAATTGCTATTCAATTTTACAGAAAAACCAAAACAGAAAGTCAACATCTTCTCTGTTATCAAAAGCTACGTATCATACTGATCCATACACCAGTGGCTAAAGTTACGTCCACTATAATTTTAATATGTGAACTGTAAAAGGAAGATTCTGTTATTTCTTGCTTCCAAAGTTACAAAAGAATGATTATACACGCACTGTGCACAGATTAGATAGTAAATCTTCAATCCACTATGGCCTTTAATAATTATTCTATGAATAAATAAATAAATCAGTTGATTAAAAATATATAAAAAACAACTGATACATCTATATTGTAGTGCAAGTTCAGTAACTGCTAAATTTATTTTTAAACTGACGTTTTTTGAGCTAACCAAAAACCTGCAGATTACGCTGGTCTAATCATCCTCCCAACATCTGCAGGGCACACTTGAGTAGCGGGTAAGTACAGGGGAGGGGCCCTGAATGTAAACATCACAGGGGAACCAATGATTAACACGCATATCATAAAATGTTCATTTTCATAGACTACCATTGGCTCGTCTTCGGTGGAGGGGCGGGACCTGCAGGCAAGATAAGTAGACAGAGGAAGCGCCTGATGACCCGCTGAAACTTGGAGTCCATTGACATTATTAGTTGGTCCTTTTCATTCGGAATAACGCAGAGGAAAGGAAAACAGCTAAGTGCAGGTTTGTGTAACAAGTAGTAAGCGCTTGTACCTGTCACAATGAGGTCCAAAACAAAGCCAGCACCGCCGCTAATATAAAACTTAAGCAACTGTTTGTCAGCTCTGAGGCTAAACCTGGCTAGCTTGACATAACGTTAGACTTTTGCCTGCTGTTATCAGAGGACATGCTGCCTGCTTCTCTGCCGTGTTGTGTTCTTTATCGATGTCTTTTAAGGAACTTTTGCATTCGGGCTGCTCATTTGTCAGTATACTCTGATATGTATTGTTCCTGCTCTGCCTCTCCTGCCATATCGTAATCTGTGGACTTTATCAGGTCTGCTGCGTATGTGGAGAACCACCCTCAAATGACACATTTATCTCTCTGGCGCAATTTCATTATCACGGATGAATGTTTGGACTCCTCCAGAGCCTTGGACTTTATAGCTCAAAAAAAGAAAACCTAACAATATATTATAAAATGAATGCGATGCCCAGTTGTATGTTTATACATTTGCTTTCAATGAGTCATACTTTCTTAGAATATTTATTTATTTATTTATTTATTTTAAGTGGTCTTGAGCAATAGTTCTCCAGAAACTGTTGCTCAGCATTATTAAAGCAGTAAGGGATCATCTTGACAAATAACAGTACAAAAGACAGCCAATATCCACAGAGGAGCTGTGAATGTCCTTGGAGAAGTCTGGAGAACTATTTTGGAAGACTACTTAAAGAAATGATAAGAGAATTCAGACTGTTTTGAAGAATAAAATATTGACTTTCAAGCTTGTTAGAGTTGTACAGATCTGTTTTTGCATTATTTCTATAATTTCCCCAAAACAACCTAGAAGGTAACCGTTAAACACATTTCCCATTTTCCAAGCAACATTGTAAAGAAAGGAGGGGTGATGCAACATTTTTGTACAGTACTGCAAGAGATTTACCTGTAAAACACTCGGGCTGTAGAACACTGTATATTGATTTCCAGAAGCTGCATCTACATTTGTGATCATATATGGGACATGTATGATCATATGAGCATGCGTCTGTGACTGCTTTTATACAGCAGAAATCCTAAATAAGACTGTTTAGATTTTTGTTATTGGAATTGTTGTCTTTTCTGTTTTATTATCTCAGTCAAATGCAAACTTGGTTTGTAGCACAGCGAAGGGCTCGAATACATTTTTTAAATATAAATTTTAATAAAATCAGAAGGGGGAAAAAAATTAAGTCTTTGCAATTTGCCCAACTCTTTATTTTTTTTTTTTTGTAGCCAGGACCTCATTTGAACAAGGGTGGAGTGTTATGTTATCTTTAGCACGGAGTAGCAGATGGTTAAAATACTAGAATTTCACTCATAAAACCTGAAAAACAAACACCTTGGCTGGACTGTCCCACACAGCATGTCTTGTCTCTTTTGAAAGGTGACACCATGGTGACAGAGGGGGAGCCAACAGATTTTGTTAAAGTGTTGCACCTCATGGTTCTCTCTTTCACCTGGGGCATGCAGCTTTGGGTTTCCTTCATTGCAGGTAAGTGGGCCACAGAGCAACAAGGCATGGCTTCAACAAAATGCATGCGTTCCTGTTTTGACACCGTGTTTAACGTCTGTGCCTGCAGGCTTTGTGTTGATTCGGCAGGTAACTCGGCACACCTTCGGCCTGGTGCAGAGTAAGCTTTTCCCGGTGTACTTCTACTGCGTGCTTGGAAGTAACTTTGTCAGCCTGGCTGTGTATGCTGTGTACCATCCCAGAGAGTTGCTGGAGTGGCATGAAAGTGTACAGGTGAAATATCACACGCTGCTAGGAATGAAAAAACTGAGCACTTTTGATTGGGAAAAAGAAAAAATTAAACATTTTGTGAGTGAATCGTCATCGAGCTTTCCCTTTTCATCTTCCAGATGCTTCTGTTCTTCGTGGCGCTGATCACTGCAGGTCTGAACGCCCAGTGGTTTGGCCCAGAGACCACTGAGCTGATGTTCTTGATGAGGGAGGTAGAGAAGGAGCACAACCTCGGGGAAGAGATCGGCCTGGGCAGCCAGAAAGAGGCTTACGCCAAGCTCAAAGAACAGGATCCCAAGTACAAAGCCTACAGGAGCAAGTTTGGCAGTTACCATGGGTTGTCCAGCCTCTGCAACCTGATAGGATTCCTCTGCACCACAACTAATTTGGTCTACACAGCTTTGAATTTAGCCACCATTTAAAGACAATGTTTTAGTTATTAAAGAACCAAAATGCCGTGCACACTTTTGTACTTTGTTATCTAACAGTGTTTCTGGTTCAGAACACTGATAAATGTGCAGGATTTGTTGGTTCTTTTATCACTTTATGATACAGTAGGATTAGGACACACACTCATACGACTTGGATTGGAAATACTTTAGTTTACAAAAATCATTTCGCCAACTCTTTCTCTATCATATCAGTGTTGAATATGAAGTGTGAATCATAAATAGCAGTGTATGTGACATTTTGCAAATGTAATTACAGAGAATTCTGCATCACTTTATCTGCCCCAAGTGTCCTTATGTGCAAGAACTATCTCCAGCGAGCATACAGAACTCATCATGTGCTGTTCACTGCTGTCAGTTAAGCACTCTTAACCTTTTTGATTACAAAATATGTTTTTTTTTATCTTGTATAATTTTATTTTTTGTATTTTTTTTTTTTAATGTAGTTGGTTTTATTTCTCAGAAAGCAAAGAAAAGTACCAAGCGACATGGAAGCAATGCACGTCCCTCCCCAGTAGGGGGCGATATTTGGACAAAGCTTTCAGATCCATCGTAGCACACAACATAATGCTATTTCATGTGCACCATGACTTTCTTGATTTTGTAGTGCATTTTAAACTTGTCACCACTGTTTAATGAAAACTATGACTGGATGATTAAAGTGTTGTTTTGATTCTTCCATTTGGATCAACCGAGTGATGTCAAAGTCTTTCTGGTGTTTGGCCTAGTGACACAAGCTTTAAAAGCAAACACTTATTTCAAAGAATTGGTTTAGGAAGAAGTGTTCCTTGTGGATGAATAAAGCCAGGCCAAACAGACAGTGCCTGCTTTTAGAATAAGCAGGTTTTAATTAAATTCTCGGTGATGCACGTCAGGTTGTGAGGAGAGCAGCCTTGGATGCGGGGAACAGAGCTTTGCCGGCCAACTACAGGATAAGCGAGGCACCATTGCTATTAGAATATGAGCACTAATGGACTGTAGTGAAATCATTTCAATATAAAAAGCATAGGCTAGAGGCTGAAAGTAAATGAATTACCTTGTCCCCAATGCAATTAATGTTGGTCCTTTAAAGGCTGTGATCAGGTTTTTAATGTTTTCTTCCAACCCAATGAAAACAGCATTGTATAAACTGGCAGAATTGCTGTTGAGCATACAGTTTTATCTTACTAAAACACTGATGTGCCATGCAGTCACGTCACAAAATAAACAAGGAAGTTAGTCAAAGAGTCTTGAGGAAACAGCACAGCTACACATGCCAACCTTTTGAGGAGTGTAAGAGCTTTACCTGCCTATCAGGTTATCTGCTGCAGTGGAATCAGGAAATAAACCTTTTTCAACCAGGGAAGAGGTTTATTCACTGATCTCTTCAATATTTCTCATGCAGTTACAGAGCTGTTAGTGATTATCTCAAAAAGTGAATAATGGTACAAGAATTCTTTGTATGAGGAAAAAAGCTGGACACAGAGAATATGGATGAACACACGATGTTAAAAACAGCTAAAATTCCTCAACTCTGGGTGTGCAAAATAAAACAAAAAAAAAAAGCTAAGAACAAAAGGAATTGTTGGGGCCTCCTAGCAGACAGGTCCAACCATTCCTCCCTCATTCCTGAGTCACACAAGGAAATGAGTCTGTATTTGTTTCCGAGAACGTAAGAGTCTCTACTGCAGTCGGTATTCTGAAAACGCCTGCTAGTTTGTGGAGTCGTGATGGTACTGCAGTGCAGCCCTGCAGTAATATAGTGTGTTAAATTAATTATGAGTCTAGAAGTCTCAAGCTGCTTTATTCCATCATGTCTTGTGGAGAAATTGGTCCAATTTGCAATTGTCTGATTTCAGTGATGGATAATGCACCTATGCATCATAAAACACCGAGCTCCTAATAGAACCATCTGTCAAAGGATTCTGCTGCTCACTTTGATACAAGCATTAAGGGCCAGGTCTCACACAGCTTCACCTTAGACATGATCAAGTTTTCTGCAGTGTGCACCAGAGAAAAAAAAATGAGCAAAGCTCCACGTCTTAACTGAGGTTTTGTGATAATAGCTGCTGGACATTTTTCCTGATGCCAGTGTTTGCACCATTTAGGCTCTCTTCTAATGTTGAGTATCTATTCTTATCTATCCTTATACTTAACAGGTTCATTTGTATCTCTCATCTTATCGCTTATCTTATCTTATCTTATCTTATCTTATCTTATCTTGTATATAAGCTTAAAGGGTCAATCACAGGACAAAAAAGGGGATGGGGGGGGGGGGTAACAAAAATGTCACTTCTCTTACACTCAGCTGTACTTCACGCCACCAAGCTTGCAATCCAAATGCACTTAGCTGTGGAGCCCATTACTGGTAGTTTAGTTTAAAATGACACAGAAAGGCTGTGATTGTTTGGAAGGATGAATCTTGGTTACAGTGAATACTACATGGTGAACCTTTGGCTCCCCCACCCCCACTATACCTTGACAAGTCAGTCTGGCACTCAGCATAGAACCACAAAGTATCATTTTACTGGCACCAATTGAACAAAATACAGCAGTAAGCTTTAAGCCTGACCACAAATAAAGCAAATAAAGATTTGCTTGTTATCCATTCATAGTAGGCTCTTGCTGTACTCCTTTAAAGGTGCTTGTACAGGGATTTATTATTCATTAAACAAAGAGGAGTTAGCTATTTCCACCCCCAGTTCTAATCTCCATACGTGCAACAGCTGCTGGGGCAGAGTGATGTTATCATCAAACTCTCTGGGGGAAAGAAAAATAACCTAAGTATCACCTCTTTCACAAAAAAGGAAACAATTAATGTAAATATAATAGGGTTACACAGCGAACTGGGGGGTGTTGCCATGCTAATGCAGCCCTGCCTATAGTGAAAACATAGGAGTAAATATAATATAATATAATATAATATAATATAATATAATATAATATAATATAATATAATATAATATAATATAATATTCTGAATTAACTACTGAGTCGTTCACGTCTGCGTAAGGATATTAGAAATTGCTTGTGTTGTTTATTCAGGGTGTGTGGCTCTCGCGCGTGCACTTGCGCACGCACGCTGGACAGCCCTCTCTCCTCCTCGCGCTGGTGGCAGACCTACACAGTGTCGTGGCGTTTAGGGTGCTTGAGTGTCCGCACCAACTCTGTCACAGCGAGAGCCGCGGCTTCAGCCCCAGCTGTCCACAAACCGAGAGCAGGTTGTAGTCCGCGAACAGCGAAGCGAAGGAAAAGAAAAGTAGTTGTTGAGGAAGGGAAACAGGTCGGAGGGATATTTCAGGTGCACTTTATTAGCAGACTTTGATAGGTCGTTTGCTCCGCGTATTACCGGACGGGAGATACCAGAAGTAGAAAGGAAAACGAGTTGGACGTTTCCTTTCTTCCGCAAAAAAAGAGGTACGTTTCTCCCTTTCCCAGCTGTTTTCCTGCACAGTGCTTCCTTCATGTCCGACTACTAACTGGGAACCTTTACTAAAACTTCAATGTTTCCTGCTTTATCCCTAGGCTTTATCCTTTATCTGTGTAGGCTTATCCCTACAGAGTAATAATACACACTCTCGTTTTGCAGGAAATATGTTGACATAAACTAAGCTGTTATTTGTTTTGTTTTGTTTTCACCCAGTATCGAGATAGTACTGAAGCCTAAGCCTGAATTTTCCATCTGTGTTTGTGTCTCGGTCCTGCTCCTAATGAGAGAACAGATGTGCTGCTGCCAACTAATCGATAATGGTCATTTCCTGTTGGTTCAGGCAGACTGCTGCCTCTGGCTCAGCAAACAATGCCAGCTGAGGGATCTGGCCGCACTGCCATCAGGCTCTATATACCATAATGGCCTCTATTTGTTTTACTGGGGATAATGACGCTCCTTTGTGCAATAAAGGAGCTCCCATTCTCATCCACTCAGCAGCTCCCTGAATGACCAGTTTCACTTCATGGAGGATGGCTGGTCTGTGGTATGAGAGCAGGTGCTTGTCATAGTCTTCCCAGCTGCTCACTGAGACCTGGTCCTGTGGTGATGTTTGAATAAGCTGCTTTTATTTGCTCATATTGTTCTACTTATTTCAGAGACACCATTGGGTACTTTGACCATAGAAAGAAATCTTTATAACTGTCCTGCTTTGCAATTGTCTTTTTTTTTTTTAAAGATCATTTGCATACCCAGAAGTAACTTGACTCTGCAGAACTGAGCAACACCACAACAGGAAAAGCACTTTAAATTCTTGTAATCTCTACAACATGTAATGAACAAGTTTTAAAGTTTTAGTTTCTTAAAATTTTATGAAACGTCAGCAAGCTTATGTGAGTCTGCTTCTGCCTGCAGGCGTTCTACACTGCACAGTAAACACAAAGGACAAGTGACACGGTGTACTGCAGCCTTAAGCCGAGCTCAGTAGAGTGGAAGTTAAGACCGTTAAGAAACATCACTTTAAAATGAGTGAATCAATGTTATGTGATTTCTGAGCAGAAAAATGTACCTCAAGTTGCACAGGCATCATGTGATTCAGGGTTTCAGAGCCAGTATCCTGAGAGATTAGAAAGAATTGGGAGACGTGGTGTGGGGCCCAGGACCTTTAATACCCAGAAACACATTTTTCCATTTAAAAGGATCGTGAGAGGGTATAGCAGGTGTGCCTAGGGCTCACATTCAGCAGGAAAGAAAACTTGTTTTACTTTCACACAGTTTTACAATACAAAACCCACAGAGGCAATTTAAAATGCTCAACTGAAGTGAGGCTTAAAGTCTGGATTAACCCTCCAGCTAAACTGCAGCTACTTTTAAAAAGGTGGTCTTACACTTATATACAGACAGAGTTCTTAACAAGTGAAACACACAGACTTGTCCTCTTATGCCCTGTATGGCAATTATTCTGACAGTACAGAGTGAAGACACTCTTTCCTCCTTATTTTGTTTTCTTTAGCTCTCATGGTAGTGAGATAGATATCTGTGTTGAGCTCTGGAGACCTCCATCTGGCCAGTTAAAAGCTGAGCGTACTGACTGCCTTGACCGCTAATGGGTCTTGCGGGCAGCTGAGTCAAAGTCTGGTCTCCACGGAGACGGGTCTGACCAGAGAGAGGCACGGCTGAGCTGCAACGATTGATCTGCTGTGTGTGTGTGTGCGTGTGTGTGTGTCTGTTTGAATGGACGCACATGGCCAGCTCTCTGCCCTCCTCCTCCCTGTGTTTGGTTGACTGACAATAAAAGGTTTGATGGCAGGTAATCTCACACTTGCCCCAGAAGAGATTACACTGAGATTAATGGCTGTAATGAAGCGATTGGACAGATGGCAGGACGCCCTGTACTTTCATTTAAAGGAAATTTTCAGGTTTTTAGTGTGTGTATAAATGGCACATCGAATGAAAATATATACAATCAGCAATTTTGTTTAGTTAAGTCACAACATCATCAAGTCAACTTCTAGTTGAAGTAGTCATTCAGCGTGCGTACATGCCAATCACTTCCTCCTCTCTGCTTCTTTAAATTAATGATGATTTCTGCTTTTCCTCAGTAGAAATCTGCAAACTAAACATTTTTCTATGTGTGTGAGAGCTGTGAACAGAGGTGTTATGTTTGTGCGTTGATTGTCTGTCCACGCAGCTGCTGCTTTGCTAGTTGTAACCACTAACCAGTGTGAGGGATGTGATAATGCAGTTGTGATGCCGTTAGTTGATTTTGGTAGGATGTTTCAAGCAAGTGCTTTAGTTTATCCTGATTTTTTACATAGACTTTGCCCTCTCGTAAATGCTCCAGATGGCATCAACTGAGTCGCGGCTCCAGCAGCAGCCCTCGCAGAAGGATGCAGCCGACCAGAACTTTGACTACATGTTCAAGCTGCTGATCATTGGCAACAGCAGCGTGGGGAAAACTTCCTTCTTGTTCCGCTATGCCGACGACTCCTTCACCTCCGCTTTCGTCAGCACCGTGGGCATTGACTTCAAGGTCAAGACTGTCTTCCGCAATGACAAGAGGATCAAGTTGCAGATCTGGGTGGGTAGATTTGAGATAAATGAGAAGTTCTCTCTGCCAAGCTACAGCATCAGTTCATTCTGCCGTTTTGTTTGCCAGAATGAAGAGGAGCTTCATGTGTACTCTGTGATAAGCTGTTGTAAATCAGAGTGGATGCTCCATACTTCTAAAGGTGTTATTGGTTTAGAACATGTTAAGTCTTTCACTTCTTACTGAACAAAAGTCTTAAAAATACATTTTTCTCAAACTGTGGTTTGGCAGTTGTGCAAGTGTAACCTGTGAATTGTGTAAATGTAAAAAGCATGACTTCCTCATGTTTTATACGCATTTATACTTCCTACCCATTATCACGCATCTGCTAAGTGTCAACATTTGTTTAAAGGAGATGGATGGTGGTGCTTACTACAGTTTTAGTTGTAGTTGTAAGCCAGGGTTTGCCTGTTTTACCTTAGATCTAGTGGTACCGTGCCTTTAAGAAAAGTTATGGTATGAATGTTTTTTGACACTTTTTTTGACCACCTTTTGTATCAGTATGGTGAACATGTTAGCCTAGAACAGGGACATCAGACTCATTTTACATCAGATTCATTTTACATCGTGGGCCATATTTTGATCTTACGTGGGCTGGACAAGTGGATCTGCCTTTTCTGTCAGTTTAACTACACATTTAGATACATGCAGTTTCAACAGTATTTCTTAAGTTTTCTACATGCTAAAGAAATGCTCCTGTGGTAAATGAAAGAAATCTGTCCATACGATTTGGACTTAAGCTGTAAGAGGTAAATGTGTAAAATTACAGAAAAAGTTCTGGTAGCTCAATCTCCACACTGTGCTGTATTTATAAAACAGAAGGTTTCTGTCAATTAATAGAAAATTTTTTCCAAAGCCGTTTAGTGGGCCGGATTGTCTTTCCCGGGTCAATTCTGGCCCGGGCCTTATGTTTGACATCACTGTCCAAGCAGATACAATTTCTACTAAATCTTAAGATAAATTTCTGGATACTTAGCTACTGTTCACTAGCTTTAACTAACTTTATCTGCTGATTACAGTGTCACCTGGATGCCAAGGTGGAAAAGTGTTCTCTATCGTGGGTTATGATGTCCTCTTCATTTAAATATAAAATGTGTTTTGACAAATTGGGCACAAATTCCTTCCTCTTTTGCTTCCAAGGTTGAGAAATTAAGATGTATTCATTGTTTAGTTGCTGTACATTTCACGTAGACACTGATGCAATACGTTGTGTGCAGCATTTATAGCAGGCAAGGTGTTGTGATGGTGTTGTTTGTAAGTTAAACACCATCTGAAACAGTACAGTAGCTCCACAGTCACATTAGCACATAATGCTTCCTTGTTGTTGAAGTCTTCAGGTGTTGATTCAGCTGTTTTTCTGAGCTACAGTTTGTAGTATTGTTGCGTGTTGCGTTCGACAGTTGATGTTGTTGCTGTAATTCACACCACTATTCCTCTTTGCTAACTCATTTTGTCATGCATGTTTATCACACAAGATCATGATTTTGGAGAATTTGCTATCGATGCTTTTCATGAATTTGTCATTTCTTTGACGGGCAAGCAGACATTACTTCCCCTAATAGTCATACAGTTAAGATAAAAATATCAAAACACACATAATTAGATTGTGAACAGTTTGATTATTATGAATAAAAATTTTAAGCCTTACATTAATTGTATAATGTCTACTGTGGGTCAGCACTGTAGACTATAACTAAAAGATGATGTACTGTAGAGCGGATGCAAACTCCGGAAAGGTCTGAAAAGTGAAGTCGGTGAGATGGTCTTCTAAATAGAGCTGCTCGATTGTGGAAAAAAATCACAATTATTTTGTTCAGCATTAAGGTCTCGAATCTTTAACACAATAACTCTACATTTGAAAACTTTTTGTCAACCAAAGTCTCTCTTTCTGTCATCTTGGCCATAATCATTAGAAGTTCTAATTGTAATTTAATTTAAATGTAGTTGCACAACCCTGGCTTTCAGGAACTACTGCCGTAGTTGCAAAAAGAAGTCAAACTGAGTTGAAGTCTCTGAAAGAATAACCCTGCTTCTCGCTTGATTTATGACCTCAGTAAACACTTTCCCAATGAGTTTTCCGCCTCAGTTATTAACATCAACACAACATTATGCTTGTTTTTTAAATTTTAGTTTATTTAGAGTAAATTACATGAAAGACCATTTTGACAGGTCACTATTATATGAGGATCCACCCCACGCCGTAACAACAGCCAAAATAGAGTTGGGGCTTCAAAAGGAACTTCAGTGGCTGACCCCACTTTTTAAACTCTATGGTAACATCTGGTTAAGTCACTCAAATTTATTTGCAACACGGTGACAGGATGGCATGGGTGGATTACTAGTTTTTAAAAAATCGATGGGTAGTTGCATTATGGGAAATCTAGGATTCAGTGTTGGACCAGGGCTGGGGCAAAAAAAAATATGTCAAACTCTGTTGTTTCACCCCAGTTTCTTTTTTTCTTCTTTTAAACTTCCACCTTCAGAGAACTATAATGGGTACCTTTAAATGCCTGTGCCAGTTTTTGAGATGATACTTTTTACAGTTAGCAGTTGAGAAACAGCAGGAATCAGCTTCTATGATTGATCAGCCCCACTGACAGCTTTACTAACAAAGTTAACTTTGGAATGGGCTTTCATATTGTACTATAAGGTGTATCCTGGCAGCTCACCTTCCCTCACACTATGCTACAAATCCTGTCTATATACATTGTTTAGGCTGATCAAACAGATGATTCATTCAAACCAGCAATCTGTGAGCCACTGTATGATCCACAAACAGTGACCCGAATGAATCAGCAGCCGAGAGGAGCCCACACCAAAACACACAGTCACCTAGTGTGTGAATGTGTGTGTGAATGGGTGGATGACTGGTTGTGTAAAGCGCTTTGGGGTCCTTAGGGACTAGTAAAGCGCTATACAAATACAGGCCATTTTTACCATTTACTAAAACTGTGTCTCTTATAAATGACATGCAGTGTTAGTGGTGTTAGTCTAACAGCTGATCAGGAGGGAAATAAAAAAACAGCAGTAACTAACTTGACTGTGTACTTTGTATTCAATAATTAGAGGACATTGTTATGGGGTTCTACAGAAGCAGCCCTGAAGTACTGATGGTGCTGTTGGATGACAAAGAAACCTGGTATTTCCTAGGCTCAGGAAGCAGAGGAAGTTCCTTATCAGCGTCTCACTGAGCCATAGCGAAGATCGACTGCGAACTCAGTAGTGTATTTAAAGGGTGTGGGAGCAGCAGGCATGTCTTAAAAAAAGCACTCTCTTACATCGTGTTAATATTTAACTTTGTAATAATTCAGGAATGCTAAATTAAAGTTGGCTACCTAACATAAGAGAATTCACCAGAGCCTTTGACAAAGAGAGTTGCAGATTAAGCCATTGTGCCAGCTGCCAGCCTCACTGTGTGTATCATGGAAAGTAGTCTGATAACGCACCACGTGGCCCTTGCACAGTGCATGAACATACAGGAACTCATGTACAATATGAACACACTGTGCACACACACTGTGTACATCCCTGCTCTCATGTCATGGAAATAAATTTCCTTTCTTTAAGCAAACACACACACCTTTTGCACATTTAGCATAAATACTGCTGCACATATGCCCGGGCGTGCTATCCCTGGGGATGATGTCCTGTGTGTGCCACTGCTTCATGCCGGTTGCTTATATAAACGCAGGTGACGCATGTTTAAAGATCAGGGTCCCAGAGACGTCAGAGCTTCTGATTGTGCACAAGCCTAATTTAAACTCCTCCCTATCTGTCATCGCATATATGCACACGAGGGAGCAGCTTTTGTTTACTGTTTGGGGTTTATTGTAGCAACCTTGGAGACTGACTGTTTGGTTAGTAATGCTATTATGCTGCCAAATATTTGATCATCCCTTCATGGATGAGATAAAGATGGACCTGGGATATATCACACGTTACTGAAACAAAAATAAACTCTGACAGAGCAGGCTCTGGAAAGATTAAAGAATAAAGCTTGAGCACTCTGCTCGAGGGATTTTACCAGCAGACTGCCCTCTGTGTTGGTTGTTTTCGTAAAGTGAGAAGGATCGCTCTGGTTGTCCACCTAGAGCAGTCCTAGCTGTAATGGAACATTCATAACCTTCAATGCCCTCTGGTTACCTGGACAACCCACTCTTCCTCCTCATCAAAATGAGGAAAACATCAGACACACACAGGCCCCTGATGCAAATTAAGGACTTTAGAAAGGTTACCAGGTAACCATGAGAGTGGCGGCGAGATAATCAACCAACTCACTCTACCTTTTTGATATTTTATGCTTTAATTGTCCAATAAATAAACTGAGCCGTTGGCTGTGATATTACACAGCCTCCAGGTGGTTAGTAATCCAAGCCGCAAGTCCCGGTGTGATGAGAAATGATTGTGGCAGGAGCTCGTATCTAAATGCCATCTTCCCCTGGACTGTGTGGTGCAGAGAAATGGCATTTTGAAGCAATGCAGCCAGTTGGTTTGGAAGAAAAAAACTACATGAAGGTCTCACAGAGTGCAGCAGAGCCTTGACTTACCCTGATATTTACCAGTACATGTCTAATAAAACCAAATACAAATCTGACTTGAATTTAACTTAAAAACAATTGAAAAGAACTTACCTAACCAGTACTAACAAGAATCATCAAAGCTGGTGAAACTAGGAGTACTAGTAGCATCATTACATGAAAAATAACCCTATCCCCACCTTCTGCTTAAAATAGCCATCCCTGCAAGATATTTCTAAATTATAGGATGTAAATGCAATTATAGGGCATTAATGCTGTAATGGATGACTGTCAAACTTGCTCTACTTGGACTGTGTAGTGTCAAGTCAAAGCTGACACCTTAGATAACTGTTACTTGGAAAGAGTCCAGGGTTAGTGTTGGCAATACTGCCCCCTTGTGGTTTAAAATCATATACTGGAGATTTTTAACCTTAAAAATGTAAAGTGAATGAAGCAGATAGAATGAAGTATTTCATGGACTGTGTATTATTGTATAATTGCAGGACACGGCAGGGCAAGAACGCTATCGCACCATCACCACAGCCTACTACAGAGGAGCCATGGGCTTCCTGCTCATGTATGATATCACTAACCAGGACTCCTTCAACGCAGTTCAGGACTGGTAAGTGTGGAATGAGTGAAAAGCTTTACTATTAATACTGTCTACATTAGATTATGTATTTGTAATTTTGTTTTATATAAAAAAAACAATTAAAAAAATACATTCTCGAGTAGGGCTGGGCCATATTATACCGTTCACGGTAATACCGGTATAATGTTAGGCAACGATAGGAAAATGAAATATCGCGATAGAATATGAGTAAAACGCGCATGCGCAGTGCCTTTGTTTTCATACGCACATGGCCGATTGTTGAGTGAAACAGATGAACCAGAATTGGTTTGTAAAAATGGTGCAACTTCAGTGATGTGGAACTGGTTTGGTGTTTGTCCGTCAGATACACGACAAAGCACATTTTTTTGCAGAACATGCAAGCGGCCGTCGGACTAAGATGCCCTTAAATCTGGGAGTAATCTGGGTCCTAAACTCCGTATCCTTCAGGTCAAACGAACACTGCAGCATCACTAAGAGTTAAAAACTGTCTAAATTCTTTCATCTTTAATAAAACGATCAGCATTGCTGCTTTACCAGGTGTAACTATGAGTTTAACTTCCAGGCATCCATGAAAACAAAATGTATTACATTTAACGGAGTTAGAAGCTAGCAGGAAGCTAGCGGAAGTTAGCTCGCTAGTTTCGCTAGTTACCTAAGCATGATATAGCATGTTCTGACTGAGAGATTTCTGAAAAAAATCAAACGTACAGCTCTGCTATCACTTCCAACATAAATGAAGACAGGAAACTAAACAGCAGTGACGTTTGTAGGGTTACTGAAGTTGGGCTAGCTGGTATATAATTATGTGCTACGTGATCGCTAGCGACACAGCTATGTTAGCATAACATAAACAGTGAAGCTGGAGGACAAACACTAACACTTTTCCACTTATAAAAGTTAACGTTAAGGTTCCTCTGGTTAGAGACAAATGCAATCGCATGGCAGGATGCTGTAAACGGACCAATCTTCAGTCAGGAGAACAACTGAGATAATCCATCCACAATACGAGGTTAGTCATTAATATACTGCAACAACATGGGAATAGAGCAGCTGCCAGAGAATTCAACATTAATGAATCAATGGTACAGAAGTGGAGGAAGCAAGAAGAATGAGTTTAATAAAGTTTGATTTATCTGACTGCTTTGTTTCGCTTAATGTGCCTTATAATCCCGTGCACCTTATGGTCCGAAAAATACGTACTGCACACTGCAGTTTAATGTTGCAAAGCACCTCTTTTTAACTTCAGTGGATATTATACATGGTTATGCTCAGGATATGTCAGCCCATTTCTACTGGAAATGCCTTTTGGTTAAACTTTCAGCAAGGAATTTGCATTTGCACTGTTACATTTTTATAAAGCTTTAATGTACATAAAAACCAGCTTCTTGTTTAAGTGAAAATAAATGGAAGGTTGTCTTTTTGCGCTAGTAATGTTGTGGAGTTGTATTTTGTCTCGCATCAATTATATCGTCAGTTATATCGTTATCGCAAATTTTCAAATATATATCGTGATAAATATTTTTGGCCATATCGCCCTGCTCTATTCTCGAGTATTTTATCTAAAGTGTGAAGTTGATGCCAGTTGATGGAACATGAAGGGGTTTTTGGTATGTTAGTGCCATCATGTGGTCAGTTGTGAACTGAGCCGTAAACGTGACATCCCTGTTCTTCTTTGTCCTTTTTATATACAGTTAGAGCAATAATATATTGTACAAAGTTAAGTAGTTTTATCTCTGTACACAGCCACAGTGGAAACAATCAAGATATGACTGAAGTGCAGATTTTCAGCTTTAATTGAAAGAAATGAACAAACAAAATCTTTAATGGTTTAATAGTAACGTGACTTATAATGAGGCCCAAAGATGGTGCCATTGATGTCAGTGCAAGTGAGGGAGGCCATCAAAAGGCAGAAAAATAAAAGTAAACCTATCGCTGAGACAGCACTATTTTAGGAGGAGCCATTCTTCAAAATAATGAATGCAGTGGCCGCCTCAGCAATACCAAAAAGCCTGAAAGACAACAGAAGACAAAATACATGATTGGAGAGTTCTTTTCACAATTAAGAAAAACAGCCTCTCAACATCTAACCAAGTTAAAAACACTCTTGAGAAGGTATCATTGTCAAGGTCTACAATCAATCCTTTGTGAATGTAAATATAGAAGGTATCTAACAAGTCCTTTTATATTTACATTCACGAAGGGTGAATGTAAATATAGAACTTCCTGTTCGTCTCAAGAAGAGGAAGTTCAAAAGAACATCTAAAAAATCTAAAAAAGTCTGTGCAGTTCTGAAAATAATTCTCTGAACAGATGAAACCAAGATGAACGTACCAGAATAATGGAAAGAGAAAAGTGTGGAGAAGGAGAAAACTGCTCATGATCTGAAGCATACCACAAAGAAATTGGAGATACTTCAAATGCCAAGTCAGTCACATGATCTCAACCTAGCAGAGCGCTTCCCAGTTATTAACTTAAAATTTGAATGCAGAATGATCCACAAAGAGCAGCTGAAGGTAAAGGCAGCATCTGGTGACATCCATGGGTTCTAGACTTCAGGTGTCACTGTCTGAAAAGGATTTTCAACAAAGTTTAAAAAAGTCTTTATATTTAAATTCATGTTAGTTTGTCCCATTCATTTTGAACATCTGAAAACAATGTATTGTGTATAAAAATAGCTGAGTTATAGGTGGAAGTCTGCAGTTCAATCATATCTTGATCATTTAACACCCACTGCAATGGTGTACGTGGGCAAACTTCAAATTTGTGTCACTGTCTAACAAGGTATGGACCTCAATGTATTTTTTCTGCCAGATTTCCCAAAGAGTTTAGTGAATCTACAGCAAATATGCTACTTATCATATTTGGATGATTCTAAATAAAAATGTTTATTTAAAAACACTTAACAGCACTGGATAGCTGGTTTTTACCCCTCAGCCGTAATGTTGTCACCCTGACGTAGACACTGAAGTTTGTGAACTTTAGAACAAAGAGATGTAGGAGTTTCAAATTGATACCGTAGGTATATCTACTAAAAATCTCAAAACAGTTCAAAATCAGTGATCCCAGCGTCAAGATCAGTGGGCAGAGGACAAGTTTTCTGAAAATCTTGTGAATGCGATAATTTGAGAAGGACGTCACCCAGGATTTAGAAATTGATTCCATAAATGTATCTAGTAGGAGCCTGAGGGGTGCCACCAACCCCCTGCAGGGGGTTTAGATTCTTGTGGTTTGGAGTTGCAGCCCAAATTAGATGAGAAATGCATTGCCGTGCTATATTAATGCAAGAATTTGTAAATAATGTACAATAAAGTCTATATTTAACTGAACGTAGTACAAAGTACAGTAGACAATACAAAAAGTACAAAGACAACATATAAACTGTTGAAACTGAGAAATCATATAGCTTTTAGAAAAAAAATGCTCATTGGAGATGAGATGAGAGACCAGTAATGCATTTGAAATGTATTTCAAATACATTTCAAATGCATTTTAAAAAACGTCATTAACAACAGGCATAACTAGGAGTTTAACTCGATGATCTCAGGAACAATTCTGAATACTATTCTCTGTGAACACAATTCTTCACTGCGTCCTTATATGCAGTTTAATCTCTGTCATGCGGCTGGCAGGTGATTGGCCTAAACCTCTTCAGGGCAGTCTGAGGTCAAGTGGAAAACTGTTCTGTGACTGATGATTCAAAATGTGGGAATCATGGATGCCACGTCCTCAGACTAAAGAGGGTTGGGACCCTGTGGGTTGGTATCAGGGACATGTCACATAATCAATACATTTGGTGCATTATAAAATGAAAATTTTTGTGCAGTTGGAATCCTTTACCAAGAAAGAAGAGAAAACATTTAGCTTTCAAAACAACAGTTTTATTGACACTAGGAAAAACTCGCCCTATATATCTTTTTTCTTCTTTATTCAAAACAAGAATGATAAGCAAAAACCACAAAATATTTAAAATGAAAAATTAAGTTTTAGATAAAATGTAGTATTACTTGCTGAAGGGTTCATTCAGTCGTGATGGTTGCTAAAATGTCTTTGGCTTTGGGCGCTGGCGACCCAACACTGCATTGGCAAAGAGATAACAGAATGAAAAGGATGTATATGAAGAAGTAAAACAGTGGGATTTATAATAAATCGTTTTTTTTAACATATAGATATTAATAGTTGTTGTATATGTAACAATGTTTTGCGTATACAATGGTCCCTCGGTAAAACGCGGTTCACCTCGCTGTTTCGCAGATTTTATTTTTGTGTGTGTGTGCAATTTTGCATACCTTTTTTTACAGCGCATTGTGTTCTGCATCCTGATTGGCTGTTGACTATTTTCAGTTGATCTCGTGCCGTGTCTCCTTCACAGTACAGAATGCGTTCAGCTTGTCAAATTTACATAAATCTTCGATCGCTAGCAACATGACTCTGAAGTGCTGTACTGTGTGTTTGTAAGTTTTCTCCCCAACAAACACAACAATGTCGATGAGACGTCATCACCTGCGGGTGCCTTTGGTTTCATTCTATAATACTGGACTTATTTGTCTGCAAGGTTTGAACTTCGAGTGTTTAAACAAGAAAGAAAAGTGAAAATGTTCATGCCTGTCTGAGAAAACTGTATAAAGTGTGTAGTGAGGGGTTTTACAGCCTTAAAACATCTATAATAATTGTAAAAAATAAAGTTGGCTACTTCGTGGATTTCACCTATCGCGGGTTATTTTTAGAACGTAACTCCCGCGATAAACGAGGGACCACTGTATGTTATTCTGATTGGCTTACCCGTTAAGAGATACAGTTCATGCACACATATGTATATACATATGCTTTGATCATTATAGTAAGAATAGTTTAATCAGAGTGTCCTATATATATACATTTTTTTCTGCTGTTAATCATGTAGACTTTGCAACTCTGGTTTTGTCTTTCAGGGCAACACAAATCAAGACATACTCGTGGGACAATGCTCAGGTGATCCTGGTTGGTAACAAGTGTGACCTGGAGGATGACAGGCTTATACCCACAGAGGATGGCCAGCGACTGGCTGAGGAGCTAGGTAAAAGCCGTTAGTGTCACAGTGTTATTTCTTTTTAGCTTAGAGTCTGCAGACACGTTTGACTTGTCTTTTTTGTAGATTCTGACATTAGTACATCTATTTTTCATCGCACATGAACTGAAATACCATTTAGCTTTGTGACTTTGCTTCATGTCAGGTTTTCAGTTCTTTGAGGCCAGTGCCAAGGACAACATCAACGTCAAGCAGGTGTTTGAACGTCTAGTGGATGTTATCTGTGAGAAGATGAACGAGAGCATGGAAGGAGACGCCAACCTCATAGCCAACCACAGCAACCAGGGCCTTAAAGACTCACCTTCAGAGAGCCACGGGGGCTGTGCTTGCTAAACCATCTGCCTTCTTAGTCTCCCAACACACACACACACACACACACACACACACACACACACACACACACACTGAAGAATAACTTGTCTGTGCCTCAACCATGAAAAGTGCCGCACCTCCCCTTTCACTTGAGCCATACCGAGCTCTGCCCCATCTACACAGCACAGATAATCTTCAGCACATCCTCCTCCTCCTCAGACCTGTCTTTCCTTCGAAGAGACCCACTCTGTCACTTTCTTTCTCTTAAGGGAGACTTTAAGCCTGCAGACTTTAAGCCGCCACATACACCTCTTTGACTGCTGTAGCCCCATTAACTACCACGTGAAATCTAGTGAAACATTTATTCAGTGCATTCAGTTTTCTTAGACAAATATTTTTATAGACAGCAACAAGCTAGCTATCAGTTTATCTTGAAATTTTTGATTTGATCGATGAACTGTTTAAATGTGTTATACTGTAGAAACCAGTAATGTCAAGTTCCAATAGGACTTGTCTTCGGTCTAATATTTATTAAGGTATTGATTTCTGATGGATTTTAGCAGCTCCGAGACGTTTTGTGCTTGATGAGTCTTGTCCAGGATGCTCCCCTCTAGGGACTGATTAAAGGGAGGAAACATGAAGGAGTCTTGCACAGCGTGCTGAAAGTTTTCAGCATTGCCAACCCTCAAGGGCAAGTTTGACAAGAACTTTGCTTTCTTGTCAGGAGTAAAAAAAAAAAAAAAAAAAGAACCACTGCTGCATATGGTAAGTAAAACTACTGCCTAGAGCTGGTTAACTTAGCCAAGCATAAAGACATCGATATACTAAACTTCATATTCAAAACATACTTAGACTCACTTAGAATATAGTAAATCAGCTGCAGTAGAAGCGTAATAACTACTGTACAAACACGTGTGACCAGTCTACTCCAGTCTAGAGCTTCCCTTCACCTCTTCTTCTTGCTGTTTACTAAATGTCAGGTCTGCCACACAGTGTGATGTACTAGTGTCAGCAAGCCCCTCATGTGACATGTCCTCTGTCCGCCTTCTGTCTCACACACACAAACACACACATACTGCTCCCTTAACTGTAGCATGGTACTGTGTTTAGTAGGTGAGCAGTTACAATGTGGTGAATTATCTTTTTTTCCCTTTGTTTGTTACTGACACGACTGTTTTCAGGAAGTGCAGCACATTATGTGTGTTTGTGCCCAGAAAGGGGGACAACCACTGATCTTTGAGGACGATAAGTCCGGACACCAACCGTGCTGTTGCAACTATCAGGAGGAACAGTGAGCCGGTGCAGAGCATCACTTTATTCCCCATTACTGTTATAAATCAATGTGAATAAAATGCAGTTTTAGAATGACTCCACATAATTGTATTTTATACATCTTGTTTTGTTCCTGCTGTTTGGACAAGATTTCAGTGTTGAAAGGTCAGTTTGACCCTCCTGAAAACGTCATCCTGATGGGAAAGATTGAAATTTGGAGCGTCTTTTGGATTTCACCACAAATCAGGGATGGGAATACAAGAATTGTGTGTTGTTGTTTTGTTTTGTTTTTAAATCTTTTTATTTTCATTATTACCATCCATGTGCAGACTGTTGACTGTCAGTTAGTATTAACCATAGCCTCTGTACAGCGATAGCAGCCTCACACTGCTAACTGCTGGTCAGCCCACTCCCTGCTACTGTACGAGCCTGCGGCCACTTATCGCTCATGTCAGCATGTGCTGCTGAATAGTGATATAGTTTGACAGGTATTAGATGTTATCATATCACGTGTCTGTGGCATGCTGCGCTTTGATGCAGGGGTCTAAAATAGGGAAGTTGTGTGCAAGATCAGTAATTCATAACACTATTTGTATTATATCATGCAGTTTTGCAGTGTATTAAAATGGCATGCAAAAACCATGTTTCTCTTACTGAGCTTCTGATGGGGACTGCTGCTTGAAACATGCTGTTCTGCTCTGTCCACTGATATCACATTTTAGTTCAGCAGGTATCTGCCATTGTGCTCAGACGCTCTTGTGCAAACAGGTTTGAACCTCAGCTTTTAGTCCTAGAGATGTTCTTTCTTTCTTTCTTATGCTTATGGCATATGTATTTTAATGTCTTACATTCCTGATTGATAGCTTTCTAAAAGATGGGAGATTAGACCCTTTGTGCCGTTTACTATATTTTCTGAATGTGCAGGGTGAACCCATTGTTTGGAAAGAAAAAAGTGCATCTTATAAACAAGGACAAATGTAGAAATCTGTTTATGAAAATAAAGAATATATTCACTACAAAAAAGACGGGGGGGAGCACAATAGTCTCTTCATCTCATAAATGAGTTCTGAAACCTGCACACGTGTCTTTGCGGTCATGGCTACATCTAAGGTTTAATTTATGACCAGGAATCACACATCCTAACCCCAAACATCTGTTTTATCTGAAGAAACAGAGAAACCACATTCTGTCCTTGTCCTCCGCAACAATACAGATGTCTTCTTCCTGCCATAAGACAACTTCCCTTCCGTATGCAAGGGAGGCCTCTGCTTCTAAACAGAATTCTCACTTAGCTGACTGGAAGGGATGTGAAACTGAAGTGAGCAAATGTATGCAAATGTGTCATTATTTAAACAAAACGTAGCTCTTTACGTCGGTGCCCATCTCACAGTCATCATACTGCCCTTTGTAAGTGATGTAAACACGTGCTGAATTGCATTTAAACTGACGGGGATGGGCTGAGACTACTTATCTTGGGTGAAGAAACAGGGCTGTCTGCACCTCTGATAATACTAGCCAAACCAAGAAAACACGGGGGTGCAGTGAGTAGATAAGGAACCGTTTAGGCCTGCTTCGTACAGAGTGTGAGTGGGTACTCAGCGGTTTCTGTTACATGAGCACATGCAGGAATTAAACTGTCCCAGGAGACAGCAGGGGACTACAGACCACCTCCTCGGGCCAGTCAGTGTTTGCGCACCATTTCCTCAAAAAGGGCTGTTATCTATCTATCCATCTAAATATCCATCTATCTATCGATCGAACTCTCTATCTGCGCGCCTTTACGCAATACAGATCTCAGACGTCGCAAACATGTTGTAAACATCAATGAGCGCGTGATTCCCGCCCACCATGCCAAAAAGTTCTGAAAGACTTTATTTGCCCCACCTCTTCTGTTCTCACTCAAGGAGAAAGTAAACAGCTCGGCGTATAAGCACCTTATCGCTCACGAGCAGGCGCGTAATAACCGCGCTGCGCTATGCATGGTATCGAAACACAAAACAAGCGAGGAGAGAGCTGCGGCAGATGTGTTTGTGGCAGGTTATTTTCCGGTGATGCAGGTGGACAATAGAGGGCCGAGGTCGTTCTGTTCCCCGAGAAGACATGATGACATGTGAGATTCTGAGTAGACTGTTGGCACTTTGCGTGATAGCCTGCATCGCGCGAGCGGGTTCCACCCTCCAAGACGCTCGAGATTTCGAGGAGAAAGGTAAGGCATCTTTTGATTTTGTTTTTTTTCTGGAACTTTTCAGGAAGGCTTTAGTGTGCTCCTATCATGCCATTTCACATAGTGCTCTCACATTTCCAATTTGCCACCCTCAGTGTCCATTCTCCTGAAAGAAGAACCAGAAACCCCCAAATGCTTTGCTGAAGGGAAGAAGGACTTCACGTGCTTCTGGGAGGAAGATGAGGAGAGAGCTGGCTCTGTGCATCAGTACTCCTTTACATACACCTACCAGTAAGTCACACTTATTATTAGATAAAACGAGTCTATGTGGTGATTTTTCCTTTTATCTCTTTTTCATATTACACAACCTACAATGAAAGTATTTCAGGGTGGTTTCAGGAGATACCCCTTATACTTTTTTAGGGTTTTTTTTACCGCTTCAGTTCCAGAGCCTATTATTAAAAAATAATCCAAATGCTTGATTTGTTTACAAAACAAAAACTAAAATACAATATTACTATCACAATGTTCCCATTTTCCTCTATCCTGAGCAGAAATGAAAACAGCAGCAGGTGCCCCCTCAGTGCCGTCCCTGCAGCAGGTGGGAAAATGCTGATTGTATGCCATCTCAACCGAATTCAGATGTTTGTCCAAATGGACATCCAAGTTCATCGGGAGGGAATACTGATACACAATCGCAGCCTCCTCATCGAACTCGTCTGTAAGTGATGTTTTTTTTTCTGCAAACGGTGCTCCTGCCAACAAATTCTGCAAAGCTTAGCACTAGATTAATGCTTTTTAAATACGTTTTTAAGTATTTGTGCCTTACATTCTACACTAACATGGTTCAAAGTGATGGTTAAAGGGGCTATGCACCTGCTGAGTGCCTAAAAACAAAATTGTGTACTGTAGGTTGAAATAACTGCCATCATCTGCCCATTTCTACTAAGTATGCATGCAGCATTGCATCAAGGTACCTATAGATTGAGGGGAAGTGTTTCAAAGTGAGACTTTGCAGGGAACAGTCTTCTCTTAACTGCTATGCAACTCTATGTCTGTGTGCAGTTCTTCTGGATCCTCCTGCTAATGTAACAGTGAGCAGCACAGGTCAGCAAGGCCAGCTGAATGTCAGCTGGGTGCCACCTCCTCTGAAGTACATGGATGACAGCATGATGTATGAGGTCTTCTATTCTCTGGCTGACAGCCACATTGGGCAGGTAAAGCAGCCTCACCCATTTGAACATTAAACTCTGAGCAGCAGGTTTAATGATGGCCGCACATGGACTTTTTGGGGCTTTTTTGCAGGTTGAAGTGGCCCGGGCATGCTCAGAATATATCTTGAGAGGCCTGCAGTTCAGTAGAAAGTACAAGGTTCAAGTCCGTGTAAAACTGGATGGAGTTAGCTACAATGGCTACTGGAGTGCTTGGAGTGACCCAGTGTTCATGGAAACTCTTCCTACAGGTGGTTATTCACATCAAAATGCATAACAAAAATGTATTATGTACCCCAAAAGCACTGGCAACTCATGAAAGGGACTAAATGATGCCATGGTTTTTTTTTTTTACCGTATTCAGTGATCTAACACACATTGATCATTCTGTTCCTCCCCTAGAATTTGATCCACTCATCATCTCCCTGACGCTCATCATCTCTTTCATCTTCATTGTCCTGTGTCTTGCTATGCTCCTGTCCCATCATAGGTCAGTCAGCCTGGCCCACACAAACAGATTGCTTACTGTCTGGTCTCAAAAAATGTCCTTCAAGAATTTTAAGTGGCAATAACAGAAAACACAAGTTGTGAAATATATCTTAAGAGTCTGTTCCTTTTCTAGGTTCCTTATAAAGAAGATTTGGCCAGCTATTCCAACTCCTGACAGCAAATTTCAGGGTCTTTTTACCATTTATGGTGGGAACTTTCAGGTAAGAAAAATATTAAGAGTCTACAGCCATGCAGACTGAGCCTTAGCCTGGCACAATGACACTTTGAGCTTAATGTAACATGCTCACATCAACACCATCATATTCTTTTTGTTTTTCTATAGGAGTGGTTAGGCCAAACCAATGGAGGTTTGTGGTTGACGCCAGCTTTCATCTACTCAGAAGAATGCCCCTCTCCTCTGGAAGTACTCTCAGAACTGAGCCTATGCCCCTCACTGCCCTCTCCACCTCTGCCACCCAAGGCCTCTAGAGCTTTGAGTACAGTCAGGAATGAGGGCAGGGAATTGAGGAATGGGGTTGAAGAGAGAGCACTGTTGGTAAAAGACAATTTAGATGGCGAGACAGATGGGGAAAGAGCCGCACCGCACCACCACTGGTTACTGGACCGCTTGCGGGCACTCCACCAGCACCAGGTTCCCTGCTCGCAGTCTTCTCTGCTGGAGTCTCAAGACACCTACGTCACCCTCAGTGCCAACAACAACAGTGACGATGAGCGCGTGGATAGCAACCTTGAGGAAGCCTTGCCCCTTGAGGCTCTTTTTCCCTCTGGAAATACAGCATTGTGTGAATCTCACTCTGACCTGGGATCAGCGCCTCAAAGCTCTGGATCAGGTTGCATTTCTTCCCAGTCCAGTTTTGAGTACCCAAACCATGCCTGGATGGCCAAGGGCCCCGGGTACACCTACATGGCAGTGGCAGACTCTGGGGTCTCAATGGACTATAGCCCCATGAGCAGAGTTGATGAAAATGGAAAAGTGCCCGTCTACACTAACGAGTACAAGAACATGATCCCTGCTCACAGGAAACCCTTCTTGGTGAGGCAGTACCCTGTCCATGGTGATGGCTGAGAGGAAGCTAAACTGTTTTAAAACAGACTCTGTAAGGGAATTTGGATATTCACCCAAGGCAACATGGCTTCCCATCAACTGCTACGAAAGTAACTGGGGAGGTGACTGACACCACAGTGTAAGCTAAAGAACTCTGTACAGGACACTGAGGGATTGAACTTCTTGAGTTTCTCCACCATGAAGAATTTTGTAAAGCTTCATGTTAAGGCATACATATTGACCATTAACAGGTTTCTTATTAGCATGCATACTGGTAGCAGACTGGTTCTTTATTAGCCATTATAAAGCACTTTCTGATGCTGCAGTCTGCACCATATTCTACAAATATAATTAATTTGCTATCTAATTACTGTTCATTGATGGTAAATAAGGAAGTAGTTATTCATAACCTATTGCCAATATAATAGCAGTTTTCCTTTTATAGCATTTAATGAATACGGGGTATTCTTGTGAAAGACTGCACAAAAGTAAGTGTTAATAGTGTTAAAAAACCTGTAGGTTCACAGAGGTGCAAAGGAGCAAGAAGTACAAACTTGGCACAGCTAACACCATTCTCCTTATTAATTGATAGCATACTTTTGTTTTCATATCATGTTTAAGGTATAGAATAAATGTACTGCTTTAACTAAATTTTATAATTTTCAGCTGATAGAGCTTTTATATTTCTCAGCATGTGGCACCGTTTAGCACCCTAATTCACACATCACAAAAGCTACACAGACAAAAATGAACTTGCTTAAAGCAGTTCATGCTGCTTGGTTAGAGCAGCATTCTCTATATAATGCTTTCCGTGCAGCATAACAGAATTTTAGGTGAACAAAGCAGTAGGAGTTATGTCTTCTTGTTAGAAGTAATGCGACTTTCACATTTTTTACATTGTTCTAAAGTCAAACTTCAAGTTTCGGCAATCTTTGATAAATTGTATCATTACCGACATTAAACTGTGAAATAGCACCTACTCAATCATCCAATTACCAGAAGAAACTTTGTACAAACATCATCATTGTGCAAGAACAAGCTCGTCATCACAGCTGTTGCTACTTAATTTTTCATCATCACTGCTGTGAAAAAGAAAGTTGTGTTGTTTTTTTTCAAACTCAGATTACTCAGCATCAAGTGTATATTATTCCAAAACGACAAATAAACTTAGCTTGGCTAACATTTGCTAAAATCTATAACGCTCTCTGTCTTTTTAAAAATAATTATGGCAAATCTGGCAGCCATCTGCAGTTATGAAAAAGCATGCCCTCTTTCAGTTAATGGAACCTCCATTGTATTATTGTAGGGTCTTTACCTCACAATATAAAGGGCAATCTTGTTGTGATTTGACGCTATAAAAATATAATTGAATTGATCTGAGTTCTCGAGCTTTAAGTGACAGGTTGTACTCAGTCTTTCTATACTGCTCCTGCATTTTGGCTTTGCTTTTGATAAGTAATAGATATTTTTAATATGTTATTTGTAGGTGTTCATTTGAGGTTTTTTAAATTTTAAGAACTTTTGGATATTTTGGATCATATCCAAGTGTGAAACTCACTGTACTTGTACATAATAATACAGTTTTTGTTTTCTGTTTTTATCACAATTGTTTGAGAGGATGATCAAATCTGTAAATTGCTGCCATTTCCAAGAAAACCTTGGATCTTGAAGTAAAAGAAATCTAGTAACCACTACTAATGCAGGGCGTGGGGACATTTTAAGCCAATATCCATTTTCATCAATCACTCCAAAAAATTGATTTCCATACTTTTGCACATCCTTGTTTGATTTTGTTGCTCAAAAACATCTAGCAACTGAAATTGTAGTTACTCTAAAAGCACGTTTCTCAACACTGTTGAATTATTTTAGTCCAGCAAAGTGTGAAATGGCAGGAAAACTAATTTCATAGCGCAAAAACTGACAACTCGCTAGCTTTCACAGTTAGTTTGCGAGAGCTTTTCTATAATAAAGTTGTCTTTTCCCCTACAAACAGGATCTAGCTCTTTACTAGGGGGAACTCCCCAATGTGTATTTCTTTATGCTTAAATATACATAATAAGAGAAACTTTTCATTTTGTAATTTATTTAAATGTGATATCAGCTACTGAAGTCTCAAGTTTCACAAATTATGATAAAAGAAAGACAAACAGAAAAGCATTACACTGTGTGTTTATTGGAATTTACAATGTGTTTTAGAGACTTTTTTCTCTGTGTCATTTTGTCTTCCTCTCAGCCAAAAATGTTGGAAAACCACTGTTTAGTTTAAGACATTCACATTCCTTAAACGTCTTTGTAAAGACTGTTAATGTTTTTGATTAACCTTCATGTCATTTAAAATTCAAACTCATTAAATATTGTACTGTTACAGCTGTTATGGTCCTTTTACCTGATATCTGAAAGGAAGAGCTTTTCCCCCCCATTTTTTGATAATCCTGTGACACTGTAATGTAGCTGTGACTACCGTCTCTACACAAAATTTCTCTCAGACCAACTTAAACTCCATTAAACCATCAGGAAAAATGAAGAGCTTCCACTCTTGGGCTACACCTGGCCTGTCGTTATAGTCTTCAGTAAAAGAAGGGTCTGTGATTCCTCTCCCAGAAAGGTAAATGTGCCACACTTCCTGTACAGCAGCTGCTGTAGCTTCATAGCCGCTGTCCTGGTCCAGAGTACAGCGCACCTGGAAATAGCGGTCAAGTACATCAAGGATAGGATCTGTTCCAGATGGATCCCCACCAGCGTTCACCTCCGACAAGAAAGAGGCAATAATGCGGCAGGGGGCTGAACTTGAACCCCGCTGTTCCAGGACTTGCGTGAGAAAGGCAGCAGTGTCACACAGCAGCGCAGCAATGTGCGCAGCGCAAGACCTCTCCCCAGGGTGAAATCCACTTTGGCTGCTGCCCCCAGGACCAGACAGGAAGCTCTCCAGTCTGTCGACTATGATGAGTGAAGGAGGTGTAGGGGACGTGTTGGTAGGCTCATGAAGGCTAGCCACCTGCTGGAGGAGTTCCTCCACTGTCCTGGGATAGGAAAACTTAATTTTCTTTGACAAAAAATATATAAATAAATAGATTATTAATAATAACAACAACAATAATAATAATGATAAACACACAAAAAATGAAAAGCTAAATAAATCATAGTAGATTATTGATTTAACCACCTAATTTTATCACACCTAAAATACTTTTTAAATCTGGGGCTACAATTACATTTTTGTTTTAATTGCTGGATAACTTTTCAGGCAATAATTTTTTTGACATTTTAATAATTGATCAGCAAATTATTATGGCATTGTTGCCTGTTTTGTATTATAATCATAACCTGCTCCATTTCATCTACAAAGGCTTAAAACACAATTATAATACTAGTGTTTTTTGCTTTATCCAGCTCCACGTGACACGTGGTAATAAATGCTCAATTGTTCAATTACTTGTGATTACATGTGAGTTTCTAATTTTCTAACTGCAATCAAAGATATTGATATAACAGATATTAACAAGTCAGTGACCAGTTAAAATTATGCACCATATCCATGGTTGTAAAAGTGTATTAAATTATTATGTGCTTTGATTGAGCCGTACAGTAATTGTAACCATGGCAGTGGCTGGTGTCTTTCTGCTGTGTTGCAACCCTAACCACTTTCAACCTAAACTAGACCTCAGTTATTTCTTATAATATTTATTTGTTTCCCTGACCCAAAAAAGGTTAACAGATAACAATAAAAACGGGAGTTAAAAAAAGAGGGGTATCACGTCTGCTCAAATGTCATTTTAAACACTTACACATGTCTGTAACGTTTATATATTCATATTATAAAACGTAAATAGCATTCACGGATTGGATGATCTGCAACTAAATGACTAAATAATTAAATAAAATGCAAGCACCTATGTTGGAAGATGAAAAAACTTCCATGACAACAACCCTCAAAACACTAACACACAAGGCACCTGGGCTACTAAAATGTTGTTTATCACGAGTAGTGAAAAAAAACAAGCTTTTGCGAATTTGGGCACAGTTTAAACATAAAACGACCCCTACCTTTAGACTTTCTGGGCTCAGGTTGGGAACACATCTCTGCAGAGACGGTGGAAGGCTCTGGATCTGAGTCTGGGTAAAGAACATCACTTTTATGCCCATCTCCGCGGCAGCTGTGACGGAAGCCAAAAGCAGCACGGAGCGGCTGAGGCTGTGGTCTCCGACCAGCAGGGTGCTGCAGGTCGTTGGTGACGGAGTAATAACTTTGACGTCCTTCTTTAAATCGGATTGTGACATAAACGTCCGAAAAACGAGCGACAAAATATCAGCCATGTGTCACAATCCCACAATCAACGCTTTACTAACCAAAAATGACGCTCTGGCTCAAGCTTCCCGCGTTTGTTTACATGGTGCACGATGGTGTTCGTGCTACTGTAGTCCGGATGCAACGCATTGTGTCCATTGTAACGTTCCGCTCGGTCCACACGGTTCATATTTCTATTAGCATTTCACCGATGTCTTCGCCTAGCTTAAAAGGAAAAACTAGATATTGCCAACGCAAAGTTTATGAATCTATAGCGCGAGGAAGACGAGCTCAAAATGCATTGATATCAGTGTTTCCTGCGAGTCCTTACACAACTTCCGGCATGTCGGATAATCAAAGCATCAGCTGTTATGGCCAAGATGGCGCATCAGCTGGCAGAAGTGGAGGCTCCCCTGGACACAAACCAAGCCGGGGAGCAAGGAAAGGGTGTTTTGAGGCGCTGTAGGGGGCGACCCAGGCTCACAGACTCCGACCGAGCGCAGAGACGGCTGGAATCCAGAAAGAAGTACGATGTCAGGAGGGTGTACCTCGGAGAGTCGCACAAGCTGTGGAGTGATCTCCGCAGGCGGACCGGTCTGAGCGACGCCGGGCTGGCAGAATATCTCATCCTACTCAACTCCACCTATGGAGAAAAATACCAGCAGAAATACTGCGGGTAGGAATGTGCTGCAGACACGTTATCTAATCAGAGTGGTATATTGACTAGCTGTTTTCTTCTGTCAGACATTGCTCTTCACATTTGTGCTAGTTTTAATCTTAAAGGGCACTTACTGTTATAACTGGACTCCACGAGGGTATATTTTCATAATTCACTGTTCAAAAATAATCTTTGTTTATGTCCTAGTTCACTGTTCATTCTCACTCCCCCTCCCCTTAAGCCAACTCTTTCCTGATTTGCTGCATATAGCAAACGGAAGGTTTGAAATAAATGTTGCAATTTGTTGTTTTTTTTGTTTTTTTGTTTTTTTGTTTTTTCGCCTGTCCCATTTGGTTCTTTAGCCATCAGAATTGTTGTCTGAAGACCAACAAGGATACCCAATGGATTTACTTTGCCAAATGGATCATCTGGCATTGCCGTATTGGTCCATTTGGTCGATCTTTGTTTTTATTATTTATTTATATTTTATTTTCAGATGTTACAGACGGGACAGACATGAGTGAGAGATAGAAAAGGGAGAAAGAAAGAGGAAGGAAAGGAAAAACAGAAGGGGAGAGGGACAGTGAGAAAGGGGGGGAGAAAAAAAAATCTCCTGGATCACCTGTTGAGAGAAGAATAGAAAAAAGAAACAAAGCAACATACTAAACACAACACCATCGCATTAATCTAGCTAAGTGTAAACAGCAGTAAATACTAAATATTCAATGTTGTTGTGCAGCACGCAGGACAGATGTGCTTCGAGTAGCAGCCAAGAAAGGTGTAATTTGGGTCTACGAGCAGTGAACACCCGTGTGCATACCTGTGTGGATCAGCGCGCTTGTATTCCAAAGGTTTCTCCATGTAACGATCTGCTAGGGAGTGTGGGGGGGCCACAGCCCCGTCCTCCAGGGTGTGAAGCAGGTATGGAGGAGATCAAAACTCCAGACATCCAGAGGCCCCCAGAACACAAGAAACCAATGGAAGACCAACAGAGGGGCAGCCGCGCCACTGTCCCAGTAAGAGCTGAGGAGAGTCCCAGATGAGGGTTCACTCAGCAGCCGCGGAGCAGAAGCCAGGGGGAGTTGCAGTGACGCGCCCGTGAGCTCCGCCGGCCGCCAGCTGTGCCTGAGTGACCGAGCCCCAGGCCGAGAGGCCGGGGGCACCCCACCTCCCGAGAGTGGGCCCGAGCGAGCCCCAGGCTCCAGGCCCGATAAGCGGCCGCCAAGGAGTGAGCCGGTGTGTACCTGGACGCCCACCCCCAGACACAAAGAACCACCAACGCACCGACACCTGAGGGAGTCCGCCACCGGCAGGGGAAGTGGTGGTGGGTGGAGATAGGCCTCCATAACCTTGGAGGGCCTGAGGTGTCCCCAGAGAGGTGGCGCTGATACCCAACCTGACATATTTTTATTTTTTTATTTAACCTTTATTTAACCAGGAATGTCCCGTTGAGATCAAAGACCTCTTTTTCAAGGGAGTCCTGGCCAAGAGGCAGCACATTTCAAGACAAATACAAACAAACAAAGTTAAAATTACACAAAACAATTACACATTATTGAGGCAACCTGTAAGCCTTTGAGTTTAGTTTTAAAAACATTTAAAGACAACAATTCAGTTAGTTTAGACACAGACATACAGGCACACACAGACACAAACATCCATTCCCACCCTCATGCTCTCATATGCACTTACTCCACACTCAACCAACGTGGAGACAGACATAAAGAGACGCTGTACACACGATCACACTCCCCAAGCGTACTCTACAAACCGGGTCTAGGTACCCTTGCCCCTGGAGGGGGAACTGCACCCAGACCCAGGTGGTGTTACCCTTTTCCCTGCGGTGGGGAGAGGCAGACCACCCCGACTCCGTAGCAGCAGGGAGGCCCCACACTCCAGACCGCAGTCGGACGGCCAACTCCACCTAGCCCTCCCGCTCCAGCAGGCCGCAGAGAATGGGGGTGGGAGAAGACTCCAAACCTCCCTCCACCCGCTCATTGTAGTGTTGATGCATGTGTGTTCTAAGGTGCAATTAAAACCCAGGAGGGCATGGAGCTACCTGCCAAGGAGCAGCAGGTAAGCGCATAGTCCCTCCTGATAGCCCTCAATGTCTAAGTGTATTTAAAATTGAGAGGTGGGCAACGACGCCAGGGGTGAGGTGTACACCCTGATGGTAGGAAGGGAGGGGCAGGTAACCCCTCCCTGGGGCCAGCTCCCCCGCTGACCCCAGTAGGCACCCCCATCACTCCGCGACCCGCCAGGGAAAGGGGGCCTAGGCCCATCCAGACCGGGGCCCAGTGCAGCAGCGCCCCCCGGCCCCACAGAGCCCGGGACAGTCCACCCAACCCCACCACAGAGAAAACTGCACCCACCCCACCATCCACTCTCTTCCAGACTACATAAGACAAGTAAACGCCCAGGCTGAGATCTTCCTCCACCTCTCCTGTATCTCCCCCTCCTGCAGAGAGAGTTCCTGAAGAGAGGAAAGCTCCTGCAAGATGTGACCATCTCCCCCACCAGTTGAAGAGCCCCCCAGGTGGTCGACGCACCGGCGGCACCCTGCTCCAGGGCCGGGCCCCCATGCACCCACCCGCCCACAACCCCGGCAAATGTTGCAATTTGTAACATCATATTTAATACGAATACCCACCATTGTAACAGTATGATAAAAAGCAAGCAAAAGCACAATAGTTCAACTTTAGATAAGTACTGTTTGTTTATTGTGACTAATCTGTTTTTTCCAAATGATGTGTTTCTGTGTTGCAGGAAGAAGATTGCCCCAGAAGTCTCGGCAAAACAGAAAAGAGGTGTGTGGAGCCATTATTACATGGAAATATTTCCAAATTAAGCACGTAGGGTTTGAGGTTGGGAATGAAGTCTGTTTAAAGCGGCTCAGTTATTTGGTGTATCAAACTGGAGCTTGCCTAAATGTTTTCTAGACAAAAGTGCTTGCATCAAGTTAAATACACAGACAATAAAGATCCAAAATTTCACAAAGATCAAGAACAACAGTTTTGATGTTATAACTTAAAAAGAGTATTGTATTACACATTTGTCATTATTTTTTAAGCAGTGTGAGTATTTATTTACTTATTCCAACATAAAACTTGAGTACAGTGCCACATCCCAACACAAATCCCTATCCTAAAGCGGATATGCATGAAATGTTTCTCATATTGTTTAAGTGTGAATGCAAATGTTACTGCATTTTCTAATGTTTTATAACTAAAAATCAAGTTTTCAACATTATCAACATGTTATGAAAAATGAAAAAATAAAAATAGTATTAATTACATAATTGTATGTGAAATGTTATCAAAGCAGTCAAACAACTAGAACTTCTTTAAATTTCGGCTGGTCTCCTTTTCAAGGGGATTGATCTCTTTGTGCACCTCTTTTAGTGCTGCTACTATTCTTAGATCACACCCTAGGTGTCTTGTTCTGCACGCTTGCACCCTCCATCTTCAAATTACCCATCTACTTCAAACCTGTGGCATAGAGCAAACAGTCATATCTGTGTCAGACTGATCAGACGTTCACCAGTCATTAGAGCCAAGTCTGCAACTCAGAAGACACTTTCAAACATTGGAAGATGTCTTCCATGTCAAAGCCTGAGAAGCATGCTCATTTCTGTGGTGCTGCATGGAGAAATCCTTCAATAAATATCCTGATCTGTGGCACTTTGGCACTTGTTGTGCCATCATGCTGCTTAGGGCAATATTGTTCTTCACTACCTGCAGTACTTGCCACATTTGCATCCCTGCTTCACCAAAGTGAACTTGTACTTGAAGCATTGCTGTTTTGACTCAGTGGAGGAGATCTAGTGCAAGAGTTATGTTAGACCAGGACTTCCATGGAGTGATCTAAAATAGGCAGCATTTCTGCAAACAGAAAGGTCACCTTGAAGCCAACTGTGACCAAATTTAAATCTTTTTGCTTTATGGATGTTTACACTGACTCAACATTTATTCTTCTTTGCTAAGGAATCAACTTTCATGTACGCTATTACTGCACGTGTTGAGTCTTAGTTGATATGTGGTTAATCTCATTCTATAAACTATTTGTCCAACAAAAATTAATCTGCCATTCATCATCCATCTCATATGCCCCGCACCCCGGCATATACGCTCAGGCAGGAAGCAATGTGTGTCCAGCCTCCAGAGCCTGGTGTGTTGGTACCAGCAGCACTCGCACTCTTGCCCACACGAGCCCCAGCTTAGAGCTCTAGAGACCCAGTCCAACTTCTCCACCACTGCAGTCTGGCAATGTGAAGGCAACCACTCGTTTGTGCAATACCTTTTCTCACCTCTGGGGGAGGCAAGTGACTCTGAGCATGAGGAGGGAGTGAACAGGGACAGCGATGGAGAGTGTGCAGTCAAAACAGACGTGTCTGTAGCAAAAAACATAGTAAGCCGGAAGAGAAGGAAGGAGGCTCACAGACAGTTGAAAGGTGTGTAGAATCGTACTGTAAGTGTTTGTTTTGTTGTGTAGACTTCAGTAAATCCTACATTTCTTAATGACCAACTTGCCCTTTTATTAATCATTTTCTTTTTGTAGACGTGGGAGAAAATGTGGATGTTTCTGAGGAACATCAGGAAACTGTAAGCCAGGTAGAAGAGGTTGTAGTTCCAACCCCTGAAGCCAGCGTACTGGCCTCTTCCAAGGATGCTCCGCTGACAGGGCAGCCTATCTGGGAAGTGGAGATGGTGCGACAGCAAGGCTCCCTCACAGCGGCTTTTCACTCCGTCCCCACAGAGGAAGAGGAGGAGACTGAAGATCTGAGGCAAGGTAAGGATGGAGGGGAAGAAGAACGCCTCACAGAAGAGGAAGTCAGGACTGTTAGGCACGATTACGAGTGCGTTATGACGGCATCTTTAGCTGATGAACTTGACAAGTCTGATGAGGACTTGGTGCTGTCGCAGAGCCTGAGTGGCTCAGTGCGCCTGAGTGCTCAGACAGAACTGTCAGTCCCACCGACCATGCAGGTCCAAGAGCAGAGCGAACTGTTTGAGCCTCAGACTCTGCAAACGGTGGTGACCGGCTGTGAGATTCCTGACCAGAGGACGGCTTTGGAGGGCTCACAGGTAGGTAAACGAGTATCTCACAGAAATAAGACTGCAGGAGGAGTGTGTTACTCTTTTTCATAAACTACATTTCCCATCGTTCCTAGTTAATTATCATCACTGGCCCCAGCTACGAAGCCCTGGCATCCGAGGGAATCCAACTCAACATGGGAGGCGGAAATGTGGAGGAAGTCACCTGCACCGTCATTGGGGGCGTCACCTACAACCAGGTGTGCACGGCTGACTCGAAAATCAGAACAGCAGAGGATGAGGACTCCATGACAGGTGCGCTACTTTGGAACTCGAAATTTCTGGACTTTGAGATGAAATGTTCCTATATCTGTCAGTCTTTTGATGATCATTTGATACTCAAAGTGTTCAGTCTTATTGTAATAAATAAAGCATAATTAAAATTATCTGATGTTTTATGTTTGAAATGTAACGTTTGTTGCTAAAAAATGAGCATAAAAGCTCTGAAGAAGTTTTGAAGTTGTAAGTTGTTGTAAGTTCCTAATAAAAACACAGCAATTAAATATTAAAATATTCAACTGTGCGCATCTTGAAAACTGTAAGCATTTTGTGAAAGTTTAGGTTCTAATAGGAAGCACATCCATTCTGGGAATGATTTCCACTTTTAAAAGATGCTTACAGTAATCGGCTTCACTAAGTCTGCTGGCTGACTCTGTGAGAGACTGTCACATGTCCATAACTGACATCACTGGACATGCAATAAAGTGCCTCTTTTTGTTTTGGGTTTATTTAGTGTCAGCAAACTCCAGAGAAGTATATTTACATAGATTTGAATCATACCTGTTTCATGTAAACATCCCGTCCATTGATTTCCATGTGAATAAAACACAGAACTTGAATGTTATATGTTCGTGCTACTGAGATGTGTCAATTCAAGTTATATAAGCATATATTTGATTATGTTTATATAAATTTATATAAATTCATGCCAGTGTATATATGTCTAAATCACATGCATTTTAGCGCCACTGCTCGCAGTGGGCATGAACTTTGTAAAACAGGAAGTTCTAGATTACCTGTGTGAATCCCTTTTGCTCTCCTGCAACATGCAGCACCAGTCTGATAGTTTCTGACTAAATCCAGCCAACACCTAATACCAAGAAAGAGTAGCTGAGTGTAATGTGCACTGATTTGCATTTTGTTTTCTTTACACTTTGGATATTGACTTAAATGATTTGAATTTTCTTCCCAGCACTCAGATTTGACTAATGGGAGTCTTTACGTTTTCTCTAAAAGAATTTACTTGTCGTTTCCCTGCAGGTATGACTGACAAACAACTGCTGCAGCCCAGTGTTGACACTTTGGAGCTGGGCAGTGACAGACAGCTGCAGAGGAGTCTGAGCAGGTTTGAGACTCACGTACTCAACATCATCTTAAAAGCAAATAGAGAATGCCATTGTCATCAGGTCACTGTTTTAAGTTGGTCTCCTTAGTGTGCCGCTCAGTCCACCGTGCCCCTTTTTGCAATGTCAGGTCAAAGAGAAGCAGACGAGGCCCGGTGATCGAGGCTGATGGGATGCTCAAGATGTTCCACTGTCCGTACGAGGGTTGCAGTCAAGTCTATGTAGCAATTAGCAGCTTTCAGGTAAAGTTAATTAGTCGTGCTCTGCATTTGAGCTTTTTCTGTTTCCACACACGAGATCTAAATGTCTGCTCTCTGTAGAATCACGTGAACCTAGTTCACAGGAAAGGAAGGACAAAGGTTTGCCCCCACCCTGGCTGTGGAAAGAAATTCTACCTGTCGAACCATCTGCATCGCCACATGATCATCCATTCTGGTGAGTTCGCAAAAGACACCCCTGTGTATTGTTTGCGTGTTATCTGCATATACTTCCAAATGTAAACATGAATCTTCCTACAGGCGTTAGAGATTTTATCTGTGAGACTTGTGGAAAGTCATTTAAACGCAAAAATCACCTGGAGGTTCACAGGCGGACGCACACAGGAGAAACACCACTCCAGTAAGTTACTAATGCTTCAAACAGATCCTATTGTTACTCTTTTTAGTAATTTAGAAGTTCAGATCACTGTTGCTTTATATTGGAATTAAAATGTGGAGCAATTGTTGAGTCACTAGTCTCTCTGGGAGCTAAATTTATTACATGGCCCCAAATATTAACATTCTCACATACATCTTGTCACCCACGTCATCGTCATCATCTGTCAGATGTGAAATCTGTGGCTACCAGTGTCGCCAGCGCGCATCCCTGAACTGGCACATGAAGAAACACACTCCAGAGGCCCACTACAACTTCACCTGTGAGTTCTGTGACAAGAGGTTCGAGAAGCTGGACAGTGTCAAATTCCACAAGTTAAAGAGTCACCCAGACAAGCAGGCAACCTGAGGTGCATAAGCATTACTGGCTGGACACCTCCGAGACCAAAGGAAGTCTTCCAGTGAAGAGAGAGACTTTGCCGCGTCTGTATTGCCTTGCACGTCCAGGGCGATGAACATCAGCCGTGTTCTTACAGGCTGAGGATGAAGGCAGGAGTGATTCGGACTAACAGCTGTGCAGGACGCATGCTGTGTCAGAGGCTAATTTCCTCATTTGGTAAAGAGTGATTCCTAAATACTTCAAGCAACTGTTCACATACCAGACTTGGCAAAATCAGTCAGAATTAATTTGATATGTTTTCTGTTTTTGTTTTGTTTTTCAGGACAATTTAAAAAAGAAGAAGTGATTAAACATAGCTGTAAACATTAGCAAGGCTCGTTAACTAGCTTGCTAGTAACTGTTGCTTTCTGAGCTGGTTGTGCTTTGTTACAGGTTCATTTTTATTTGGGGTTACAGATTAAGTAAAAGAACCGGTCACATTCATGACCAGCCCACACACCGTGTAGTATTTCCCCACTCTGTGGGAACCAATTCAGAATGCTTCTAGATCTGAGATTTGGCTACTTATTTTCAGCAACCATATTTGTTTCCTCTGGCGTGAGCAGACAGTCGTGTAATAATAAACGTTTTTGTAGGCTCTGGAAAGTGTCCTGCAGTTACATAAAGGGCATATTGAAAACATACAAAAAAAATTATTTTTTCATGTGTAACCATGAAGATCTCTGTTTCCTTAAACAATTCAGTTCAGTTTCATTTATACAATGCTAAATCCCAAAAGCTGTCACCTTAAGGTGCTTTAAATAGTAAAGTCAATATAAAGTCCAGCAATCCGACGACCCCATATAAGCAAGCACTTTGCAAAAGTGGGAAGGAAAAACTCCCTTTTAACAGGACGAAACCTCCAGCAGAACCAGGCTCAGGGAGGGGCAGCCAGCTTTAACTGGTTGTGGGTGAGTGGGAAAGACACTAATGGCATAGAGCTAAAAGGTCAAAGTAGTGCATCATGGGAAGCCTCCTGGAGCTTAGGTTTATCACAGCTTAACTAAGGGATGGTTCATTGTGACGAGCCCTAGTTTATAAGCTTTATGAAAAAGGAAAATTTGGGTTGCTCTGGACAAAAATACTTCATTGGTTTCTCGGCTTTGCTTGTTAAAAAGCAAGATCCTCAGCTGTTTTTAATATAGCTAAACTCAAATTTGCAGTCCTTTTCCGAAGCACCATTGCTACGTTTGAATCGATCCCTGGAAGTCTCATTCTGACCACTTACATCTGTGCTGGTAAAATCGACTTTCGTGTCAAAATGACTAAGAAAGTACTTTCAGTTCCTTTGGTATTTTCCAAGTTGATGAATCTGCAGGTTTTAATGTAGCACAGATATTATGTGAGCTTGGTGCAACTCTAGCATATATCTTGCCTTGGGAGCAGTACCAGGACTACAGTAGCTTTGGACCATCTGAGGCTGGGTTTGTGTCTCCTCCTGGAGTTCATTTAGTGATCTTTTGCACATAAGATGAATGTGCTAGCCACTACACCATGGACTCACTAGACTGACCTATGAGTCATAACTGTTAAGGAGACCTGTATCTCTGTCTGTGGCCTGGAAAACAAGCAACCATTTTCAGTTTTCTTTGTCATTTACAAGTTAGAGTTTAAAGTCCTGAGCCATCTGATTAGTTGGAAATGGCCTCCTCAAACACAGCAACTATTGTTTGCTCTCTGTCAGTGCAGTAAAATTCAAATTTTTATCCATCCTGACAAAGTTAATTCACAACCCTTCTACTTGCTTCATTTGGCTTCCTGCTTATGCGCCAAAACTAAATTCAAATTGGAAGAGAGTGGTTTTGGCACGTTTGCAGAGAGGAGCGATTTGCTTTTTATGGGCAGAATCACAGAATTGATCGATCCAGGTAACATACCTGGTCTGTAGGTTGTGTCTGTCTACACTGCATGTACAAATTCAAATGTAGGCTTTTCTGTTTTAGTCACTCAAGGCGACTGTTAGCTGCGTTGCTCGGGAGAGCAGTATTTATTTGACAGAGTCCAATGGGAAAGCTTGTGAGATTGATGTGACAGTTTCTCAGGAAAATTCACCTTTGTCTTCTTGTCCTGTGATATTTTTTTTGTATTTTTATTTTATTTTTTTAAGAAAATGCACTTTTTCTTCTCTTCTGTCACTTTGGCTAACTGGTGAATCAGTAAAAAATATGTCACCATGACTCATGTTTGTGCCATTTCTTTCTTTTTTCTTAATGACACCTATTTGACACATGATTAATATGCAGGCTGTTTGTGCCTGTTACATAATGCAACCCAGGGTGTGTGTATGTGTGTGTTTTTGAGTGGGTGTGCATAAGGAATAAGCAACATCATGAAAACCATGCAGATGCCACCTAGTTATGAAATATTTTCACAGGATCTGGACCCTGTGAGTCAGAAGAATATTGAACATTAGAAAATGGTTTCAGTAAAACGTTTAGCTTGGGGCACATTAGAATCCTCCTGGTCACATTAAAATACTGAGATGAGATGCTTAGGAAAGAAATTACAGGTTTTCCAAGTGAAATATGAGGTCATCCAATAGGCTACCAAGATTTATTTAGTCTTCACGTCTGCTGCGCCTTAACTCAACATTTTTCTAGTGTTTTTGATCTGTTCTTCTTTCTTTAACAATTTTGAGTGAGTGGTTTTTGACCCTCTTTGATCTTTTTTTTATTAGCTTGCGTGATTTTCAAGTAAAACAAAAGTCACAGTGTAAGCAACATGAGGCCAAAGTCTCAGGAGCAGTCACCTTGCTGAGTACTAACTTTCCATTTATTTAAAGTAAATCTATTATGCTTTCATATACAGAAACCAGTTTGAGGTGATTTAAACTTTGTTACGTTGTGTGTTAGCAGCCATCAGAAGTTTGGGTACGCTGTGGCCATAAATGGGTGGACACGGTCAGCAACAATACTCAGGTTAGGCCGTGAAGTTTAAACAGTTCTCAATTAGTGTTAATTTGCCAAGAAGCTATCCTTATGGCACCACCAGCGTGAACTGCTGATGCAGCAGAAACCAAAACTCATGAGACCAAAACCTTTGGAAAGGAAGTACAGGACATGGCAAACAGCAACAACTGGAAAGGGAAATAAAAATGCCCCCCACTCACAGATGAACAGTTTCCATCCACTCTATAAGCACAAACACATCATAAACAGACACCTTAGTAGGACTACCGAATGTAGTGATGAAGATTTTGTAATGAAGGACGGAATATATTTGATGTGTGTATGCGTACAAACAAAGCTCTATTTAAATGTCAAGAAGCAGTCCTATTGTTCTGAGAAATATCACAGAGAATAGCTGCTCTGCTGATGCTTGTGCAAACTGGCACTCCCTCAGTACGTCATCATGGTAAACAACTTCTTTCACATTATAATAGAAAAGCACTGTCCCATATTTTCCCTGCCTCTTTCATAGGTGGCCTGCCCTGCTCAGATGGAATAATCGGGTTCCCCAATTGAGCACGAGACACAGATCGTTTTGTTTTTCTTTTGTTTGTTGGTCCAATTGGGAAAAAGCTCATATCACTTTGGTATAAAAATCACTGTTAATTATTAGTGAGCTGACAGTTAATTGAATTTCTGCAAATGGTCATTTCAGTTTTAACAAACAAGTTTGGGTCTTAGGAGGTTAAAGCAAGTTAAACTCTTTGTTGATTCTAAAGTTTGTATATGATTCAAGACATAATAAATTATCTTGACCTTACCAGGTCTTAAAATTAGGTAAATGCAACGTCAGATGAACAATAGCATGTGTGTTATTCTATTTAACAAAACCTAATTCAGCGGCAGAGTGGGGAACGTATACTTCATGATTCAATAGCTTGTAGAATAACCTTCAGCAGCAATAACTGAGCAGTTTGTAATGAGGTGTTTGAGCTGATATGCTGTGTTTGGTTTTCTCCAAATATGGCGCTGTGCATTATAGCCAGTCATCTCCACTTTGGTCTCGTCAGTCCAAAGGATTTGTTCAGATGCAGCTTTGCAAACCTAAACGGTGTTTGTTCGTTTTATAAACAAATCACACCTTTTCACTCTGTTCCTAATTATACTGTCATCAGCTTTAACATTTAACATGCTAACTAAGGCCTGTAGAGTCTGAGAGATAACCTTTGTTTTTGTTTTTTTTTGTTTTGGGGTTTTTTTGTTTTTTTTGGGGGGGGGGGTCTTTTTTTGACAGTTTTTCTGAGCATTGCACGGTCTAATGTTTGGAAGATATTGATACGATATTGTGTTAACACACATGTGAAAGCTACAGAGCAGCAAACAACTGCCAGAACTCCTGCTTTTATAGAGGTGCTCACACTCGCTGATGATCAGTTAAGCAACTGCATTTGATTATCAGCACCTGGTCTGTACTTACCTTTTTAATTCCTATGGAAGCTGTAAGGGTGTGCTTTGTTTTTCCACACACTGCTACCGCATTTTAGCTCACTTTTGTTAAATAAGTAATGACACAGCACTGTAATGTGTTGCTGTATTTACTTTTATGCGAATCATTTTGTATTTTGTACATATTCATGTTGTTTTCTTTGTTCTTTTTAAGTGTACTTTAAGAAGTTTGTGATGCAGTAAATATAATGATACGGGTAACATGACAAATGTTCAGTTTATAAAGGAGTAGGTAATGGATGATACTAGGTTCTAATTTATAAATAATCGGGTATGAATAACTTGAGTTTACTATATAATATTATACTGCAGTATATTTCTAACTAACTAGGCAGTTCATTCTGTTTCTCCTACTTCTCTTCTTTAACACATTTTTTCTAATGACAACGTGAAAGAAAGGAAGACTTGAAATTAGAGGTCAAGTGTGTGGCATGATCTTTGGATGCCAACTACATAGTGGGATATTTAGACATGTCATTTAGTAGTATCATTTCCAAAGTCTTGCCAATACAAACAACGGCAGCAGAACTCAAAGCAAAGTTTTAAATATAAAAAAGACATTCTCTCAACATTTGACCTTATTTGACCTTGAAGAAGAGGTCAAAGGTCAAAGGAATATTATATTTATAATCCCTATATATCACTCTCTATTTGTCTATATATTGTCAATACAAGCAATGGCAGTGCTAAACATAGTTTTACAAAGCTTTATGTAGTATTGTTGTCACTAACCGTCAGATTAATCTACCGGCCTTTGAGAAAAGGTCAAAGGCCAGATGTGACATGATTTTTTTTCAATCTAAATTCTAAATAAATTATTTTTCTTTTTTTTTGTTCATGTTTTTGTCTGACAGCAGAACATAAAAACATTGACTACAGGAATAGTTATCCCCATACAGTCACGTCTCTGTCCTGTTTTTTGAATAGTACTTAAAAAACCATAACGCACAAAAGTGAAAACAAAATCACAAACAAACATTTAAAAAAGTAAAAACAGAGTGTTTATAAACTTAGCTTGAGCTTGACCTCTGGGTATACTAAACGTTTACATCCAATACAAAACACATATCACAATATCTGTCTAAACAGACCTATCCTCTATGTAGTGCAAGAAGGGACCCCAGACCTGATCAAAGATATCTTCTCTCCTCTAAGTTACCTGTTCATATATAGCCATTTTTTTCAGTCCATTCCTTAAAGCAGCAAGAGTTAGATGATGTCCAGTGTCCCATTATTATCCTGCACCTTGTTATGGCGGCCAGACGCACCCACAGCCTCTGTCTTCCAGATAGATTCATGCTATCTGGTAACAGACTCAGGACACACAAAGCGGGAGACTTCGAGAGATCAAATTGAAAAGGACCTTTCAAAAGGTTAATGATCCCATCGCACATGTGGACATTTTTTTCACATGCATACAGCACATGAACTAAAGTCCCAGCTTCTTTCTGACACTTCCAGCAGGTGTCTTTGTCAACTAAATTCAGTCTGAATAGTTTGCTAGGGGTCCAATAGCTTCTGTGGAGTAATTTGTACTGGATATGCTGTGATTGCGTGTGGCATGAGCAACCATACCAACATATAACCAGCTTCTTCCAACTGTCCTCTGAAATCTGGATTCCCAAATCTCTCTCCCAGCCCAGCTTCAGCCCCTGTAGACAGGCGATTGTGCCTCTCTGAAGATCCCACAGAATTTAGACGGTTTAGTTTCCAAATAAATCCCCCAACTTAATTCCTGCACTAGCCTACGTGAACGGTTTCTTACCAATTAATAATTTCTTATTATACCAAATAGAGGCTCTAGAGGTAAGATAAGGATTGGTATTAATGAACTGGTGAGCTCTAAACCAAGTCTCTTGTTTAAAAGCCAGTACTGGTCTTCCCCTGTGAGAGAAAAAGGCCTCTAAAGATGTTTGAGTCACTAGGCTTTCCTCAGTCACTACCCAGCACGAGTTATTTATCTTAGCTAATTGGGAGAGAGAAAACGCATACCAGTCCATCTTGGATAGTGCTAATCCACCACTATCTTTGACAGCATGTACTTTGGACCAAAGAAAGACTGTGTTTTTGCCTGCGCACACATACCCCCCCCCCCCCCCCCCCCCCACAACTGTATTATAAAGCTTGAAGAGGTTGTGTGGAAACATTATAGGTAACGTAAACAGATTATACTGGAGCTTTGGGGAAACAATCATCTTTACTCCATCTTTTCCTCCAAGCGGGAGATTCTGTTCAGTTTCATTAAGAGACTCAATTCCACCTTTCACTGCGTTCATGTCATGAGCTGTCAGTTCCAGAATAGATCTTATGCAAGTCAACT